TATTTTTGAACTTATCGTATTTTTGAACTTATCTTAAGTACAATACCTCAAAATGAGTCATACATATAAATATGTACTTAGAAGGAAATAATTATTCATTAATTACCACAATTTTTTACGTAGTTTACAATAAATGAAGGAAATGATCGAAGTTTATGTTTGATATATATTAATACAGGTACATTGATATAAATCGTGTATATTAATTATGCAAAATTCTACTTTTAAATAAACTATTTAAAACACTCTTTTTGGTGTTTAATTAATTTAATTAAATATTATATTATGCATGGCAAATGATATTCGTAGAATATAACTAGTATAATAAAAAATTGATCTGAGTTTAAATTTTACTTCATTATTATTGATAGAAATTTTATTTTTTGTAGAAAACGCTATGTATAGCTGTAACGAAGAATAAACTAAATTTTGAAATTGGAACTAGGATCCTTGGTACTAAGCGGATTTAATTACCTGTTAATTGTTGCAACACAAAGTTAATTGCTGTTGAAATATACCTATGTAGAAATTATACGTACTGTATTGAAATTAAAAAGTGATTCTATTTACGTTTCTAAAAAGAATATCTTCGTTAATCTTCCCTTTTGCTGAAAAGAAAGAAATGAAAAGTCGGTCGATGCTAAGAATAACGCAATGTTGCTCAGTTTAAGTAAAAGTGTCCCAGAAAGAATGAAAATGATTTGCAAAAGCAATGAAAGAGCACTATGTTGCGTCGTAAAGGTTGTTTTTAATTTCCTCCCTGTTAAAGCTACCGTAGTAAAGCAATAAAAGATATATATTTTTGTGGCACGATAGCAAATGCCTTTCACTTCGAGAAATTTGAATGAATGTTACAGGTGAAATTGTAGACTCTAGCATGAACCTTTTCGTTTTAAATTCTTGTTATTTTCATCTAAATTATTTTCCACTTTTGTTTGTACCTTATTCATTTTTTGAAGACTTTTTTTAAATTTGTCATTTAACGCAATTAACAATATTTATTACATTCATAGGTTTATTCATTTGCTACACTATAAGTTCAAAAACAAAAATTCTTGTGATCGTAGTAATACTTCTGAATAATGCTCATCTTTTCTTCTAACAAACAATGTACTATAGAGAAGCAGAATGTGAGAAATACAAAATTGCCAGAATATTGAATGAAATTCATAATTAATTATAAAAAACATAGTATTTAAATATTTATCAAACATTCATGCACTTCACTAATTTTTGATTTTACAATAAGCAACATAATTAAAATGTAAAGGCATTCTATTTGGTCTGTCTTATAAAAAATTTGAACTATTTTATATAATAATAAATTTATAAATATACATATTATTAATATTATTAATTAACAAAAGACGCAAATAAAATATTCGTCGCCCTCTTCAACTTGTACATATCACATGTGCCCATCCATAACACATGGTGCATTAAATCCATCGTTCTTTGGATTTGGAATGTAGAAAAAGTTCGTTACAAAATATACAAGCATCGCTTACAGATAATTCATTTATTTTTGGTTCTATCTTATATTGATGTATAAATATTTAATGCTTAGTAAATGAATGCATTTGGGACAAAACCGGGTATATATTTGGCTATAAGGCAGATCCAGGTACGCAGTACACAGTATCTGTATACATGGAAAATTCACTTATTTTGGACATTTGGTTCTTACAAAATTTTTTTTTCCTTTTAGTGGTTTGTACAATGTTTTCCAACTGATTTGTATTTTCTTCAGATATTATTCAGAAGGTCGCTTTTCCTTTTTCCCTATTCCTTTTAGTGGTTTGTACAATGTTTTCCAACTGATTTGTATTTTCTTCAGATATTATTCAGAAGGTCGCTTTTCCTTTTTCCCTATTCCTTTTAGTGGTTTGTACAATGTTTTCCAACTGATTTGTATTTTCTTCAGATATTATTCAGAAGGTCGCTTTTCCTTTTTCCCTATTGCTCCTTCTTATTGCTCACTCTGTGTGGGGAATAAGTTTAATTGTGTAGGGAAAAAATGTAAATGTTGATTCATAATTAATATTCTGTGACGGGGATGGAACGTACTCCTTCAACGTAGATGGTACAGCTTTTGCATCTTTTCATGCCATTGGGAAACTCTTCATTTCTGTTGATGTTAATGGTAAAACTTTTATAAGTGCTTTTCTGATATTTTAATTTGTTAGGTGTATCCTGATAGTTTGTTATTTCCGATGGGACATATAGATGACTGGATGCATTAACTCAGGATTAAAAGAAATTTCTATTTCAGTTGTTCTGAACCTTTGAACCCTTGATTTTGTTGCTCTAAAAAATTCAGCTTTGCACAACATGGCTACTTCGTAAATTGAATTAGAAATCAGCCACTTTCTAACTTCCTTTTCATAAGAAATATTTAACGGTGCCATAGTTTTCGCAATTACTTTATGGACTTAACGCTACTGCCCAGGGATGCATACAAAATAATAACAATTTAAATTAAATTATTAAAAACATAAAAACGAAAGACATGTATGTCTATACACAGATATTGTGTACTGCGTAACTGGATCTGCCTTATAACCAAATATATACCCGGTTTTGTCTCAAATGCATTCATTTACTAAGCCTTAAATATTTATACTTCAATATAAGATAGAATGGTAAAAAATGATCAAAATACTCTGTGAGGACTATAGAATATAAATATTATTTGTCTGAATGGATTCCTGAATGTGAAAACATTAAAAAGCAATCATTTAAATCACAAAACATTGAAACTTTTCAAATCGAAATTTTTAACTCTATCTGTACGGAACACCACGATGTTGATTGTTTCTGAAATTTGTAAAATAAGGTCGTGAGGTCCACTCAAATATTATGCGACAATTCGATTACGTATCGAAGCTCTTATTTTAAAGAGATAATAGTACTTGGTTTGACCCTATTTTCCCCTATATATAAATTTTATTAACTTGAATTCTGTTTTCAATTAAAAAAAATCCTTTATATTTCTGTTTCTTACATTTATATCTCTAATCAACGTTTTGAAGTGTAAAAAGCATGATGAATTAATCACAAAGTTGATGAAAAAAAATTATTGATTTAAAAGAATATTTAACAATAATTTATTGAAAACATACACGAAACAAGAAAAATTGTATACAATGAAAATTAATAACCACAGATGAAGAATATAAGAAAGAACATTTGGAAGAACTAATGAATGAAGAAGAACTAATTGCTTTTCTTTAGATTTGTATATTATACAAAACTTTTGTACTATCTGTAATTTTTTAGATATGACAATTTTCTACAATATTATTTAATTCTTGTGCAGTTTATTTTAGAAGTTACTATTTTGATTAATAATTTTGGTTAGTAATAATTATTTTTTTTAAAGTAATAATGGATAACAAGGTCAAAATTGAAAGCTTAATTAATAGTAACTTATAATTCATTATTGTTATATATTGTATGTGATTATTAGAATTTAGATTTCAGAGATAAAATAAAAGATTCTAACAATGTGTTTGATTATTAGTAGCTTGTGCATACGTATGTCCAATTCTTAATTTCGCGAAAATGATTTGTTTCCTTAGAGGGAAATATTGGTTGTAAAATTTTCTCGAATAATTACTTTTTATACTGATGTATACAAATTTCATCTTGTATAATCCTGAACTTTTATCTGTAATAAGTTATAGAAAATTATAATGTATTCTTGGATGCTATTATTATATTTATAAATTCATTCCTTGTTATAATGATATATGTTATAGTACATGATAATATATAAGTATTCATATAGTAAATATATATAATATATAATATAAGTATTCAAATAGTATATTCATATAGTAAATTTTCGTCAAAAAAATCCAAAATTATTACGTAATCTAGTGTAAATCTTTTTTTTTTAGTAGCATAAGTTTCGTTAAGTCAATTTGAATATTCATAGGATATATCATCACTAAATAATTTAAATCGTATGCGCTGAATCATTGTGCATTTTGCAATTTTGATTTTGATTTTGAAACTGAGTCACGTACCTAATATTATTTTTCATACTTTTTTAGAATATTAGTTAAATAATATTAGAATAAAATAAACATATCTGAATAAAGTTTTTTAAATATATTTTTCGATTTCGAAATCTAGTTTATATTAAACTTCTTTCTTAATTCAAAAGGAGTAATTTTTTTAATAGATTTTATCTGTTTTATTAGGAAAAATTGTGTTAATAAATTAAATAAAATTGTGTAAATTAAAATAAATTGTATGAATAAATAAAAGCTAATTGTAAGTAATATTCGACGATTCTCAAGAAAAATCAGATTTTCTTCACTTACGAATTTTGATATTGATATTAAATTTATCCGAAAAGGTTCTGTAATTAAATGTTCATTTCATATGTTTTAAATAAAAATAACAAAAATAACAAAAATGCAAAAATAATAAAAATCTACAAAATTTTATCATCTATATGCCATTTGATTTTTATATTTAGATTTGAGATTGAACTGGAATCACCGACATAAATTATAAATTATAAATCAGAGGAATTAGAATGCAAGAAATAGGAAAATGTTTATACGTAATATAATAAAAAAAAACATATATAATTTAAATATAAAGAAAATATAATTTTTTATAAATGCAATAGATATTTTATTTAATGAAAAACATATGATAAAGAAATTTTTATTTATATATTTTAAGAAAAATTTCTAAAAACACTTGTTTTAAATTTGTTACGAATTATCATTTTGACCACTTTGAATATTCTAGTGATAATTACTAAAAATTTAAGTGCACCTCCGTTTCTTAAATGTGAAATTAATTTAAGTTAAAAAAATTTTTTTAAACTTTGAATTTATAATAAATTTAACAATGAAATTACGGTATACATATTATATTTATGCTTTTGAAATTATGAAATTATTGTATATTACATTATGTTTATGCTTTTGATAACATACGATGTAAATTGTCTATATATTTTTGTATTTTACTTTCAGGGTGGATTCGCTAAAGTTTTCTTGATGACTGATGTCAGTAACGGCAATGAATATGCTTGCAAAATTATTCGAAAGAATCGAATGCAAAAGATTCATATGCAGAAGGTTTGTACACGTCAGTTACATGAATTAACATTATGCAGTTTTATTTTTTATAGTGCAGCTTAACATAGTTATTTATTATTAGTTCAATGATTTTTAGTAATTAATATTTTGTATATGATATCATAATTACATTATTTTAGAAATATTCACAGTCCTTCATATTTATTTAGTGTAAAGTTGCTTTCCCGGAATTTTAAATTTTGACATCAGGAAGATGAAATTCTTTTTGTAGAATCGCAAGTGTGTAACAGTCCAAATCATTTTTGGAATCGATTGGACACTTTTCAATTATGAGACTATTAATAAAATTCTCATGTTCGAGAAATTGTTTCTCCCATTCGTGTTGTGTAAAAATGTCACAATAAGTATACATTTATAATTTTCATTTTTCAGTTAGCAATGTAAAATAAAAAAAAAAAGGTGCAACGAGATATTTATGCTGCTTTTATCTTGATAGAGTTTAAGGATGCTTAATTGATTACGAGTTGAAAAAGCAACTAAAGGGTTAAAAAAAATACAGAGATTCCATCCTCTAAAATAACTCATGCAAAAGTTGTTATTAAGAATGTTGTACAAGTCTTTAAATTTTACAGATGGCCAGGAATGCACGTTTAATAATGATCTATTCCTTGTAGATTGCACGTGAGATTATGATCCACAAAGAGCTGAATCACGTGAATGTTGTCCAGCTGCATCACTACTTCGAGGATAACCTTAACGTGTACATGCTTCTGGAAGCTTGTCCTCGAAAGGTATCGTATGTCTCGTATACTTAAGAAGTATACCCTGTACAGTTTCCTACGATACATTCTCTCTACGCGTTCGCAAGAATTTCCCAGCCTTCTCCTTTCAAATTGAACTGATCTTTGTTGTATTCGAAGAACGAGAGAAGCACATTTACTTGTTGAATAAAACTTTGCTTTTCCAAAAAAGCTTTGCTCATGTTCGTCGGAGAGATCACCGAGAGTTCGTTCAATACCTAAAATTTACGTCTAATCGTGCAAGAATTTACAATACACTTAAAGAAATAAAATTATTTCACTATTCCCCTCTTCTCTATGTTTTTTATCCTGAAACGAACTGTTTCTTTTCCTCTAACTTTTCAATAAAATTTTTTATCTTTTGGACAACATATTTTGAAAGAATAGTTTGCAATACTTTAAGAAAATTTCTGTTAAAATATACTTAACAACAGAATTGCTGTTATTAACATTGAAGTGATTAAGGAATCGAGACATTTTTTGGAAAAAGAACTAATTTTGATTCTCTAAATCTATATTTCTTTTGGTTTCAAACTTCTATATAACTTTATATATAACTTATCTTCTATATAACTTTTAGTTTTAGTGCATATTTCGGGTAATATATGTTAGATGAAACCACAAGCATCGTATTATTTTCATGCAAAAAGAAAAGACGGTGTATTCTCTGTGACTAATCGTTCACTTGTTTGTACCGTTAGGATGTGTTGATTCGTCCGTTATCTATTATCACATACTGATTGTCTTTCGTTTTCTGAAATCATTAACATTACCAATAATAATTTCTTTATCTAATAAATCACGAAAAAGCAATCTTTTTATTAATGATAATTTAAATTTTTAATTAGTTTAAGATTATGTTAGTTGAAACACTAACGATGATATTAAAGAAGATGGTCTAGCAAGCTTTAAATTATAATTTGACAAATATAAAAGTCTTTAACTATAAAATTACACGAAGAAAATAAAACAATATTTTGCTCTCCTTTATATACAAATTGATTCGACGTGTGTCATGGCACTTGCAGATTAACAATAAAAATACTTTTGCAGATTAACAATAGAAATACTTTTTTTAATATAAAATAAATCAAGTATTATAGTTATTCCCTGCTGAAATATAGGAATAGAATTCTTGTATATCGGATCTTCACTCGTATTTATCTTAACTTGTTGAGTTTTGTTTTGTACCTATATTTCTACTTTCGAGCACCGTTTTCATTCGGATTTTGGTTCAAATCGAATATATTTACAAATTGATTATATATTGTTTCCAGCATTAAGTGTGCATAAAAAAGTGATAAATGCAGCAAGTTGACAATCTTGTATAAGCTTGTCGGTTGGACGCCTCAATTTGATTGAATAAATCGATTGATTCATCGGTTACGCCGGTTGTAGTTTTAACCTACGTTATTTCTTGTAGCCTTTTTATCTTAGGTTTCTTTACTTGCTAGCACACATCATACGATATACTACATATATATTTTTATTTTCAAATACGTACCTTTATTCTCTCGCTAATTTTCATTCAACGTATATTTCTATCAAATCAAATAAATTTTGATTGAAACTAAAGATGGTTTACATGAAGAAAATCTTAAATTTCATTTGAACTTTGACTGAAAACCCAATGAAAGTATAACGAATTGTCATTCCTTTTTCTTTTGAAAAAAGGACAAAATAGTTTATGAAAAAATTAACAAACAATCTTAGATAAGATAACAATCATTCATGACGTGAAAATAAAATATTTCCTTTGAAACAAAAGATTAGATGACTGTTAATTCTCAGAACTCTAAAGGGCAGAACTACTGCTTTCAAATTAATTTACATTTCCAGTGTGCATCATTAAACGTGACACGAAACCACATGTTTTTTTTTTATTTGTAATCTCATTCGCGTGAACAGTTAATGAAAATGTTTTCTGTTTAAATAATAATAAATTGATCTATTCGTTTTTTTTTTTATATTCATTAAGGTAGTATTATTGTGCATAGAGAAAGCAAAGAGTAATTGGACTGTTCGACAATTAAAGAGAATTAATAAAACTCAGGAAAAGATTTAATATAAGTACATAATTAAAATATGGAACGTACTGCACTTTGTTTCTCACTTTTAAACAGATTTTATTGTTAGTATATACTGTACAGTTTTATATTAATTTTATACTGTTCTGTGACATCTGATGATACAATACAGAAAAATAAAAAAATTGACTTTTTCTTAGTAAAAGTTATCGCCAAAGATGTTTCTCTATATATCGCTGGCGATTCCAGGCGTTAAAATTTTTCCGTTCAAACCTTGATTTAGATTTATGTTCTCAATAAAAATGCAATATGTCCATATGACGTTTTTTTTTTTTTTTTTTTTTTTTTTTTTTTTTAATTTATTTTAGTGTGTAGATTTATCAGCTGGACATGCACTAGTAAATAATTGTCGCAGACACATTAAATGCCGGTGTTTAACCTCTTGCGTTAGCAACTGGTTCACGGACCATAACGAGTGACCAAACCGTATACAATAATTTGTCTTCTTTTTGAATTCATCGGTATATCGCTGGATAGAAATTACTAAGAAGTAATAAATTTATTATTTGTTTTGCCTTATATTGAGTTATATTTCAATATACTTAAAACTGAGAAAATATTGCAATTTTGAGCCAAATATTCTCGACGTGCGTGGCACGTCATTCCAGCACAAGAGGTTAATTCGCTAAAGCCATTTGGATACGCCAAGCGCGATGTCGACCAGGTTTTCATTTTTCGCTGACTCGATCGTCGGAGCTTGGATGATTGTGCGCGCGTACATACATACGTGTACGGCCTCGAATATGAATAAAGATTTATAAACAAAAGGGCTGTTTCCATATAAATTGAACTTTTTATAGAAATGACCATAATTTTTGAAATTTTAAAAATTTCGACTTTTGTGATCGCACTGATAAGTTTCCTATTGATATACTATATCTCCTGATTGACGTTATCCTAAATATGTAGACTGAATAATAAATTATTTAGCCATATTTTTATTGTCTTGCCTGATTTTGATATCTCGATTTACATCGTTATTATTATTACGCAGCGGAAAATATTTCTGATGAAAGTTGAATTTTAAAAAGTACATTTTCCGATATTATTAATTGTGGCTCGTGTTAATAATATATAAATTCGTGACTTGATATTCTGACTTATTATATAAAGATTATGTGAAGGTTAACTTTGTTTTTTTTTTAGATAGAACTAATGAATTTTTTCATGCATCAATAGACACAATGTGATTTTATTAATTAATGCTGATTTAATTAGCTTTGCACAAGCTAATTATACCACATATTATCTAAAGTAATTTTGGGAGAAATGCTGTATATTTTAAAAAATGATATACTCTTTCTAAATTTGATAACATACAATCATTTTTAAGAATTGAAAAATCTTATTGAAATATCTTAATATACCATTAAAGAAAATATCTTATATATTTTTATTCAAAAAGATAAATAAAAATGTCAATGTACATATCACTTTTGTGAAACGATAGTACATTGCAAAAAATGTTTAATTTTTTTTAAATTTATCAATACAATCTTTTTATTTAGAAAATTTTTCTAAACAAAATATAAAATAACATTTTTATTTATTATTTATATTAACATTTATATATAACATATTTATTTATTATTTAATTAACATTTTTAAATTTTTAAAGTAAGGTTTGTTGGAAGATAAAAAAAAGCATAGAAAAATATAAATAATTTATGTTAGTAAAAAAAGTTTTAGATATTAGTGTCACTTTTAATAATCGTTAAAGACTTTAATATATATTATAGTTATTTTTTTAAATCCAAAAATAAATAATAATCATTTGATGACAGAATATAATTAAATAAGTCCTCCATTTTGATAACATTGTAGAAATGTTTGAACTGAAGCCATCATACATGTGGTACGAAAACCATACTTCTACTATGCATTAGTTAACATTTTCAATATCTTGCACACAATTTTTTGTAATCAAATTTCTCTACTATGAATTTGATAAATCCAAAATTACAAATCGACAGTTTTCGTAAATTTTTGACGCTCGTTAATATTCTTTTTTTTTTTTTCGAAAAAAATTAGCCAACATTAATTGTATCGTTCTGTCTATTCCTATACTCTAACTAATTTCCTATACTCTAACTAATTTCATGTAAATAGTCTCATCTTTCAATGACCTCAAAATTACCAGGGGTATAATTCTAAGTAATTTCTCCCTATACACACGTCATCATGCATAAATAATTTAATATCTAGTGCAATTCTATCAAAAGATTGATACTTTTGTTCCAGTTTCATAATTATGATCGACAAACATTTTCTACTGTTAATTTTTTTCATCTTACTGTAACTGAAATCAAATGTTTCGTTAAATTTAATCGGAAACAAAAAACATACTTAAAACATACCACTCAAATTCTATATTCCTAATAAATACTTGACACTTCATCAAATTTATAGAAACATTTTGAATGTAATTAGAAACACAATCATCTCTCTGATATGTATCTCGATCAGTATTGAATAGATATACTTAAAGTCATTTAAGTATGTCATCAATTAAGATGTCTCTGTAAAATTAATCTTCAGCCATCTTCGATTATTGCTTTTTTATTTGATATTATTGATATTAGCTTTTTATTAGTTGATATTAGCTATTTTATTAATTAAATTAAAAACGATTCATCTGAATCCAAATATTTATGCACGATTCTGAGATATATGCAAAAATTTTCTTCAGTATTTATGTTGTATCAGTTTGAGTTAGATATTCGCAGTGGGAATGTCTTATCTTTTTGTAGATAGATCCTTATTTTGATGTTCAATCTACTAATCAATATGTGTTTTACTTAACCCAAAGATCAATGTTAATTATATTAACGCAACATTTAATTTTTTTCAATTAATTTATGTTAGAAAAATCTCATTTTTATTATTGAAATAAAATGAAATTCCAAGAATTTGTTTAACATTTTGTCAGCGGGATATTTGAGATGACAATCACGTGTAAGAAATATTATTTATGTAGAGACTGTTAGAACTATCACTATAGAAGGTAGGATTTTATTATTTAATAGATAGTTTTATTTATTTATATCAATAATTAGTAGTCATGTAGATGTATTCTTCAACCATGACAAAAAAAAAAATAGAACTTTTATATTAAAATAACTGCTTGATCCTTAATGGATCAAAATCAAAATTATTTTGGGCTTTCTAAAAAATGATGTGTCTAATGCGATTTTATTATTCTTGATTCTTAGATAATATTAGATAATATATGTACGATAAAATACAGATAGAGATAGAAATTTACATAAAGATAAGCGAATTTAATCGACAGAAAATCATTTAATCGTGTATTCATTGCAATAAATGAAATACATATTATATAATATCGTATTATTGGAAATGTAAATATTGAAATTGTGTTATTTTGTTTGACAGAGCTTGATGCATGTACTGAAGTACCGCGGCAAAGTCACGGAGCCGGAAGCACGCTATTACATGAAACAAATGGTAACAGGTGTTGCGTATATTCACTCTCAGAAAGTTGTTCATCGAGATTTGAAGCCAGGTAACATGTTCCTATCGGATCGTATGATTGTCAAGATCGGGGATTTTGGACTGGCGACAAGGCTCGACGGACAGTGCAGACGAGTGTAAGTTCTTTCTTGATTTCTGTCTAATTTTTACCTAATTTTATTTAATTCTTTTTCATCGAAGCATATTTACTCAAACTTCACATTTAATGATCTATCTTTAAGAGTTTATTTAACTAATATTAAATGCTTAAATCATTTAACGTGATATTATTTAATTATTGCAATTGAAAAGTTATAAATATTTTCTAAAAAAAAAAAGAAGAGTAAATTGATATCGAAATAATGATAATTATATATGTAATTTTTGTTTGAAAATAAGACAAATAATATAGCGATAATATTATAAACAACAATTATTTGATAATTAAGAAGTTATTCATAACAGTTTTCGTGTACTTTATAAAATTTATTTAGTACAAAATATTTGAACTAACATATTATTTTAATTAAATTTAAATCAATATGTATTTTATCAACCCCAAATAAGTTATCGTTTACAATAAAATACCTACATTTCGAAAGAATGGCAATTTTGCAAAAAAATATATTGCAAGAAAACAATATTTTCAATAATTGCAATGATGCATGATTTTACAAAAATTGTTACAAGAGTATATATATATATATATATATATATATATATATATATATATATATATAAAATACATAAAATTTGTAATTATAGTTATTTTTATCTTATTTTAGATTAGATATGTTAGATTTTTTAAATTATATATAAAGTTTCATGTCCTTAATATCCTTAATGAAAGTGTTTCTTTCATTAATAATGCTCTTATTAAAAGCGAAAGGTATTGACATAATATAGAAACGGAAACCTAAAATTAAGCATTCTTTATAAAATTTTTATTCCTGAGATCTATAGACCATCAATTGATGGTTATAAATTACGATAGTAATATAAATTATAAATTTAATTATATAATTGTGATAGTTATATATTTTGTGTCAATTATTCAATAAGTACCAAATTTAATCATCATCGATAAAACCATCTTATCATGTGTGTGTGTTTGATCTTACATATGTAAATTAATATATATAATATTTATTAACCTTTTGAATACTATAAGCACATATACGTGTAGAAAAAGCTCATCATGGCCTATAGGAAACATACTAAAAGTTTTAATTATTATTATTAAATATTTATTAAATATTATATACATATATTACATATATTAAATAATACATATACATATATTAAATAATATATAACGTTAATATATTAAATATTACCTGTGTAATATTTATTACCATATTTTATGTTTAATTTTATTATACAAGATTTATTATACAGGCCAAATATCTAATTGTAAGTATCTCCTTTATTTTTAACAATATGAGAAGTATTTGAATGGGAAGTGGTATCATATATAGAACATTTTTTTTTCTTATGATCGTTTTTTTACGGATCTTTCTTACAACGCTAGTATTACATTGCTAGACAGCATTTATCTACTTTTTTTATTCTATTATATACCTATAGCATATATATAGGATGATTCTTAAATGCGTCGCAATATTTCAGATGGTAAATCTATACATTAAAATAAGTAAAAACCTATCATATAAATCTATGTCCTACATATCTTAATTTTCGAGATGTAGATGATTAAAAAAAATATTCGATTTTCTATTTATATTTTGATATGTACATACATTCATCAGTCTAACCAAGTAACGCATTTAAGAATCACAGGAAACATTTATGTGTATTTCGGTCTTATTGTTAGGTGATACATCTTGTATATATTAATATTTTATTTATAAAAACTTGTAGATTTTTATAAGATTATAATAGTTTCTTATAAAAATCTACAAGTTTTTAGTATATAAAATAGTTTTAATTCATGTTATTTTTCTTCTAAATTATATGAAATATTATATGCTATTTCTTGCTAAACATTTTTAATTTCAACCAATCAATGAATTAATTTTCATGTAATAAACAGTCTTTGCATTCTACTAAATTCAAATGATATATGAAGATTTTTGTGACTGGTAGTACAGTAGGATATGCCCTCCTAAATTAAAAATACAAAAAAATAAAATTTCATGGAATACGATTGAAGTAAAATGAAATTTCAAATGGTCTGTTATATGCTGCTCTCAAAATGAGTGAGTTTCACAGATTTTACGTCACACATTTTTTTTAAATTGAACTATATTTTTTTATACATCGATAAATCTATATTTAGATTTAAAAATTATTAATTTACAATATATTTATCTTCAATCATATGAAACTTATTGTATACTAAGTAACGGTGCTTTATATTCTCTTGTTAAATTTTACAAAGTTGACCTTAAAATATTTTAAACTAATTGTTTTTAGCTACAGATATTTTAGTAATTTTTTTATAGAAAGTAAAAAGGGACACATTAGCTAATATATAAAAAATGTATTTATAATTTTAAAATTACAAACATCGCGCAGTATAATAAATAAACTGAGGATTTTGATGTCTTTATAAAATGATTATGCATACAATACGCGAAGATATATATTGCTATACATGCGCGCGCATATAAAATATCCGAAGTAAAATGATTTTTAATTTAACTTTTAACATAATTTTTCTATTTAAATTTCATTTCTATGACCATAATTATGGCCATGAAATTCGTATATTAATGAACCTAATTTTACCTAATGAAAGTCTTGTCTATCTTCTATCATTTTCAAGTTATAACTTGGAATATCCTGTATAAATATTTGTAGTGTTACATACTTACTTGAATTAAAAAAATCTCATAAAGTATATCAATTTATTTCATATTTATCTTTGATATCATAATATTCTTTTACATCCATGTGTTATGATAAAAATTATCTCATATACATATGCAGAATTTTGTGTTTTTTATGTCTATTATAAATTAAGAAAAGAAAATATTGTTAAATATAGGGATTTTCACTCATCTGTTACATTCATACATTTATATAACATTAATTTTTTACATTCAAATTACATACAACATTAATATATTCAAATTAAACTTATGATTTCTTGCAGTTACCTTGTAGCTATTTTATAGCTAGTCTAGTTATAGTTACTGTTACTAAATTGACAATTTATTTTTCATAAATTATTTTTTTAAATGTTTGAAACAATGAAGTAAATCGTATATACGTTTTTATTATTTTGTAATTTATATTAATTACATAAATAGTTTTAATTGAGAGTTTCTTTGTAATTCGATTTACAGAATAGGCACGTAACGGAAACGTGTAGGTATCAACATATGTACGGCTTGGAAATAACAAGCAGCTTCACATTTAATGCACACGTTAAAATGGTGATAATTCGTTTGTATGCACAGGACGATATGCGGAACACCGAATTACATTGCGCCGGAAGTGTTGTATAAGCAAGCGTACAGTTATGAGGCGGATGTTTGGGCGCTCGGATGCATACTTTACGCCTTATTGGTAGGCCAGCCACCTTTCGACACAGCGTCACTGAAGGAAACTTATGCTAGAATATGTAACAATCATTACCGAGAAGTTGACGATTCAATAGCAAGTCGAAACGGGCAAGATCTCATCAAATGGCTTCTTCAGCCGAATCCTGAACTCAGACCGTCTTTGGAAAGAGTGAAGGAACACGCTTATCTCACTGAGGAATATGTGCCAGCCTCGTTACCTCGCATTTCTTGTTTCCAAAAACCACGTGCCTCTGTAATCGATCCTGTGTCGAACTCACCTTCGTCGAACTCTCTGATATCTAGGAATCAAAAACTTAACAATATTCAGGTAAATAAACGATCAATATTTATTATTTATTTTTTAATAAAAATTACACGAATCCTTATGCAACGATTAATATTTATTATTTATTTTTCAATGCGAATTATGCGGGTCTGCAATCTGTACGTAAGATTTTCGAAATTGTTGAAACCAACATCTTTCAAGACTTAGCATAAATATATCGCTTAAGTAAGAGATTATATAACAAAAGACACAACTTAGCAACATTTGATACATTCGATATTCGTTGGTTTAACTTATTTTTGCTTATACTGTAATCTAGCAATGAAATTTAGCATTTTAGATAAGACTGGAGGAATTATAATAATGAAAAAAAGTCACTCATTGTTAGTGGCTTATGTTAGAAATGGTGTTATAAATTAAGTTTATGATTGATGTTTAAATTCGTAATATCATCTGTGCAAGAAAAAAAATATATATTTAAATTTTTACATAAATTATAATATATTACAATTGATCTTTATTCTCACAGTCATCTCAAACTTGATGTGTTAATTATATTTTACGCTTATTAGTTAATTGAAACGTTAATTTCAAAATAAATTACATGCGAAAAATTGATACACCATGAGACAAAATTTAAAGAACATAATAATTTTAGGCATAATAGTGTCTGACACTTTAATCAGAACAATGAAAAGTCATACTTTTTGGATAGTAGATTATATTTAGTAATTGAAATACAAATTCTATGTATTCACATATTTGCATATTCTATATATCAGTTTAACTAAACTATTGACAATTACAATAATAGCACATATTTAAGATTTCTTATTTATCGTGTAAAAATCTATAATCACGTTCTTTGACAAGAGTTTCAAAAATTTGTAACCATAATCGTTGTGTACAAGTGTATAAGTGAACCTTGAGCGTAAATGAAGAGGATAAGGAAGACGAGAAAGGGATAAATTACTTCAATGTTCCAAAACTGTTTAAAATGCAGCAAAATAGTGGAGGCTGTCCACTCCTCAAGACATTCTCTAACCACCGCAATCACTACCATAGCTATTATATATTACTATCATATCTCGGCTGTCGTTCCCCTCGACTGTGCACTCTAATCGATCATTTTTGAACCAATCTAGCTCCAATATGCCAACAATAATGCATCATAACACTAACAAAAATCTAACAAAGCATGCACTGGCCTCAGTTACTCAAATATCAGAATTAAATTTATCGTTATAACGGACAACAATAATGTTGAGACTATATTGTGATAGCAGCCTCTTAGAAAAAAAAAAACAAAAACAAATGAAAGACAGCAATTGATAACAATAGTCCACTTCGTTTAACGCGAAATTCTACTGATCAAAACCATGATAATGTACTGTAGTATAATAGATGCAATAAATATTAAACACTGATTACGCTACTGAGAATACAAACCAAGATCTCAACAATAAAAGAAAACTAACTCTCACTTATCTTTTTGGAAGATATTGTACATTACCCCTCTACGCTAAAAAGGATCTATCCCAATAGCAGAAGACTTCTCATGTAAAACTCTGTCTAAAAATATTCTAAAGTAAACACATAAAAATAAACAACGCATATCGTAAGCTAATTAATTACTTCAAAATAAAAGAAGTGCGTATTATATGCATTAGTTGAAAAAGAAGATAGCTTACAAAATGTTAATCAGAATTGGGTAGTAATCAATTACCTTCTAATTATTTCTAATCAATTAATCAACTAAATATAATAAATATAATTATAGGAATCATATAATCATTAATTAATTAATTATTGTTTAAATAAATCAGTAATCTTGATTAAGTTTTGTAATTTGTAATTATTAATTTTTAAGTTATTAAATGATTAATTTGTATTTATATCACGACTTGTAACGTGTTATTTCGTCATATTGTCACAATACGTTCAAACGTGTTAATCACCTAGGGTTATGCTATTCGATATAGCTAAATATTATTGGAAACAGCTTGCTATTTGAACTAATTTGAACCTTGCAATAGATCAAGATTACGTGAGAGAATACGTTGATTTGCATCTATATTGTTGAATTTAAAATAATTTGTTACAGTTTATAATTCTCATACTATGATTTAGTATAAGAATGAATCACAATCATTTTTATATCAAATCATATTCATATCATAATCTTAAAATTTTGATCATTCGGCATTTTCATCAAGTCATACAAAAAATTGTGCCAATACTAACTTAAGAGTAATATGGATGAAACTTTCAATTTGATGGAAAATTTTTTTTTTACATATCTTGACAAAATTGTAGGTTTGTGTACATTGCAAAACAATGCAAATAATGAATATATAGTTTCTACAAATATACATAGTGTCGTTGATAATATTGGAGTAAATTATCAATACAATTATACCGATCAAAAGTGTAATCATTTTATGATCAATGATTTTCACTACTTTTCTTATTCATTAGTCATGATTAATATTCTGATTCCGCATTAACTATAATCGTCAGTTATTAATCAGATTGCGTTTTGCATCATTCTGTTGTCCCACCATAAGGTTAATAAAGAGTAACATTTTTATCTGCACGGAAAATTTACTTATTATATTTTGTATATAGGTATCAAGTAAAAGCATTGATCTTATATTACATGAATTAGACATTAAAATACTTGAATAATAGTTTTCTAAATTATTTTCTGTTAGATTTAGAGAAATTGAACATTGAACATTTCTATCTGAAACGGTGAAATATAAATGTCTTAGCACTACATTTATACAGTAGTGCACAATTTAGGAATAAATTAAAAGCTTAACGATTTTTAATTCTAAATTTTTGATAAGTTATAACATTATTAAAACATTCTTCATATCTCATTTGGTTTCTTCATTGCAATTACAGATTCATACAATCCAACAATCTCAACATCAGGATCAGCAACAACAACAACAACAACAACAACAACAACAACAGCAGCAGCATCAAGCAAACCTTTCCGAAAAAAGTTTACGGAAAGGATCAAAAGTGATCCGTTGGTTAGCCAGAAAGCTTCGAAAAGTGCCAAAATTTAGACAAAGATTGAGTAGCGTACTTTGTCCAGATCAGAAAAAAATAGGATACACGGCACAGAGTATGCAAATGCATCAAGCGCTGGAAAACTGTATCACAGAGATAAAGTGTAAAAACAAGCTGCGAAATCATCCACCTGTAAGAGATGTCGTGCCCCTGTTCATCACTAAATGGATCGATTACTCTAACAAATATGGCTTAGGTTTTCAACTTTCTGATAAATCTGTCGGTATTTTATTCAACGATCATACAAAAATTAGCTACACACATGATAGAAGGTCAGTATATCTTCCTTCAATGTTATGTCACAATTCTTTGAAGTACATTCTATTTTAAAATTCAGATAAAGATACTAAATACTCATTATAACATTAACTTTTTCGTTCGTATAACTTTATTAAGAAAAGAAAAGAATAGTTAACAATTTCAAGAAAAAAATTTAGTAAAAAGAATGAGTAACGTGACAGTAGTATTTAAAAATTATACAAATTTATATTGCAAAGGATTAAACATTTTTTTTATCTTACTATATTTAACTTATTCAAAACTTATTATATTTAACTTATACATTTGCAAAGAAGAGTGGAGTACGTGACAACCGACGATGAAATAACAAGGTATCATAAAGAGCAAGATGTTCCAGCTGCTTTACAAAAGAAACTTATATTATTGCAACGTTTTACGCAATACATGGACAAATTTATGACTGAAGGTAAATTATATTGATTATTATTTTATCATTGCTAATATGTCATAGGTATATTAAAACTTATAAATATAAATCATTTACTTTCCACTATGTGGAAAGTCTTTCTATTATTATATTATGGCGGAATTTGCAGTAATCACTTGAATCAAACTTGATCTCTATTATATTTTATACAATATAAAAAAAAAAACATTATATAGTCAGAAATATTTAATAAGATATATTTAGTATAATAGAAAAGAAATTATATATTTATAAAACTTCAATTTACCATGAAAATAAAACTTTTGAAGTTTTTGTTGTTATATACAGATTTGTTATATATAGATAAATTTTGATTCACAACTTGTTTTCGCAACGTTACTGCAAATACCTCAAAAATTGTGTGTAAAATGTTACGTGAAACTCTCTGTATTATAATAGAATAATACGGAATAAGAATTTGTTCATTATGTTTAAGGTGGTGAAATTAAAAAACATCGAGTTGCACTAAAACGGTCAAAAAACGTTTGTGTACCGCGAATGAGAAGATGGTTAAGAACTGATAAGACTATTATGATGGAACTGTCAATACCTCTCTTGCAAGTGAATTTCTTCGAGGATCATACAAAATTAGTAGTTTCGCAAGAATCCCCGAACAAAGGATATTTAATTACATACATCGATACTAGTAGACATACATCTTCATATTGGTTGAACGATATACGCGATATTGGCTGTACAGCAGATCTCTACGAGCGTTTATATTATGTTTACAAAGTATCGAGAGAATTTGCAGAAATGCATAATAACACGATTGCTTGATCAAAACTATATCAATAATAGATTTCGTATAGAATTGAAGTTTATTCAATTCTATACGAAATATATATATTTGTTTCGTTAGCTGCACTCGTTTCGTTTTTTGAATATATTTCTTTAGTCTTCATTTTAAAACTTATAAAAGGTGATTCATTCACGAATGCAGAAAAATTGTTCAAAAAAAATGTTCAAAAATGATTTACTGATTTACTTTAATGTAAGGCTTGTTTAGGTTTACATATTCGGATTATATTAATATATACGAAATTAATACGCCCTTATTGTTAATATTTTTTGTTGAATAATTTGTTTCAAAGCATATTTAACATTAATTTCATTCTTATAAGAAAAAATATTCACACGTACAAAATATTCTATTAATAAGTAATTTTAGAGACATAACGGTTTATTTGTTACATTAAAACATTTAAATTCAAAAGTTCTTTCGAGTAAACAAAATATAGTATTAGTATTAGTAACAGAATTTCTAAAATGTCAAAATATATTTGACAAATATTAATACAAACAAACGAAACGAACATAATGTATATTACTACATAATTGTTAATACAAAGAAAATGTCTAGAAATAACAAGAGTACTCAGAGTAAATAACAGAGTAATTTTACATTAAAATACTTATTTTTATATGATAAAATTGATTAGTAAATGAAAATTGAAAAATAGTAAAATAGTTAGTAAATTAAAATTGAAAAATAAAACATATAATGGTATTATCTAAGTTTTTTATTGTTGTATACAAATGAAATCTAGCAATTATTTTTTCATGTATATAATTTTTGTCAACGGTTTCTTATGAATTCAATTCGTAGTGCTAATAAAACTCGAAACAGTTCGAATGCAGCTAAACGAAAATAAGACATGGTTCAATATGTATGAATATGAATGCAATATTTAAGTTCTGTGACCGATTAATTTTTTTCTTTTCTTTATAAAATATAACAGAATCGTGATATATACATATTTGTATATGTTTGAACAAACTGAATGAATACATAGAGAACTAGTTTTACTTTGTTTTTTGTTAAAACTTTCTTGAAAATTTTTTTAAATCTAAAGATTTTTGTAAATTTTTAGTTGCAGGTAACGAAATTCTAAAAACGACATCCATGATAAAATATATTTTGTTTGGTTTTAACTTCGAACAATCGTGTTGTTCATACTTTGTAAAAATCGTATCCGTAATTATGACATTGATAATATTTAAATATATGTACTAAAATATGTACTGTGAATGCAGTATCAAACGTAATACTGTGTATATTTTTGTTATAATCAGATTATTTTAATTTTTGAAACTGATATAGTTGGACAGTTTTGTGTATCGAAAAAAATTAAGTGTTGGCACACAAATGTTTATGAAATAGGAATAAATGTTAATGTTTTAACATTTATTGTTCCATTATTGTTAACTTATATATTTTTTATACAAATACGAATTTTATGTATCGTGTATATTGCACTTAAATATTTGTAATAATGTTTCTTAATACAGTTGTTCATTCGAAACAACTATTTTAAACATGATTTATATCTTACAAATATATTTTTTTCTTTTAGTTAAAATTAAAGCTAAATGGGTATTTCAGACTAAATATATAATCCTTTTTTAAGTTTATATTTAAAAAAATAGTTTCAAATGAATGTGCTATATGCATATTCGTAACTTTTTTACATAATGCTTTGATTTTTGTAAGATATTTCATTGTAAAATATTGTTTCATATTTTACTGTTAACAAATGTTAAATTTGTGTGATAACACATGAACACTGTCTTATAATCGGTTTTTATCTGAATAATAACGGAATAAAAGTTAATATGCTTCCAAAATAATTACCAACCAATAATATATAGAGAGCATTTTCTAATATTTTCTTTTGATATATCATAGTGCAAATATTGTTACCTTTGCGTAACATTAGAATTGTTCAACTTTGTCTTCTAAATCATTGTTAATATATGTTAACAATAAGTATAAAATAATAAAAATTATCTTCATCGTATAGGGAAATCGAAACAATAAATGTTTATTTTAATATTTTGTGGTAATAACAAATAGCTTGTAATAAAAGAAGGTAAATTAAAAAAGACAGTACACAACTGTATTTAAAAATGGAATATTTATTAAGAAAAACGGTAAAATGTCACATGTTTACATTCAAAGTGCCTATATTGAATAAAAGTCTGTTTATAATGTAAATTAAGATTTTGGATTAATCTAACATAAAAAAGTTCAATTTAAAAAAAAAAGTTAATTAAAATAAAATAATATAGGACACTAGTTGAACAACTCTGATGTGAATTATTTCAAATAATATTCTTTAATGCTAGTTAATAGCGGAAACGTAACGTTAAGCGGACCAATTAAATTGGCTTAACTGATATGATGTAGCGCACATTGTTTCTGTTATGAATTACTATGTAGTATGTCACGTATTTCAATTAATCTATTTTCTATTTTCGAGAGTATATATTTTGTTTTATAAATCACAACATGATTTTTAAATGTGCCTCTATTTTGTATTTATTAATACAAATTTATTAAAAGAGTAACAGGATAATTATAGTTCGTAGAAGAATTTTTTGTTTCAATCAATTTGGTGCCAAATGCTCCTGCTTAATTGTTAAAAATATATAAATGACTCATTTATTTAATATTATTAGTCCCTGTAAATGTTTACAAATATTATTTTTCCGTTCGTTTAATTTCAGTTATTCAATTGTTACAACATTTTTGTGTTTTTAACATATTTAAATACCATAAATGAAAAAACTTTTTATTTCTTTCTATATCATTATGAATTGTAGCAAATATTTTCTTTAAATTACAGGGACTAAGTAAAGTAATGAATTAATAAATTATATAATTTATATAAGAAAATGAAACTCAGTACAGCAAATATACATACAAATTATGATGAATATGCAGTAATAAATAGGCAATATGTAGTAATATTTATAATATATGAAATTACGAATCACGTTCATATAGTATCTTGATACATATTTTTAATATTCGATGATACTTGTTCAAAATTGACATCAATTTGGATTCTGCATTGAATTACTAAAAAATAAGCAAGTGCGAATCAAATAAACATATAGTGCTAAACATTCGATTCAATCTTTCGCATTATACATCTAAATACAAATTCATATAAAAGAGTTAGTTAATTATTTATAATAATATGTAGTTATTGGCACTTCCAGCACTACACAAAATTTAAGGTTTTTAATTTGTAGTTTAGGAATATATAGGTTGTGTCAAATTTTTTTTTTCAATGAACTTATTATCTCAGCGATATTCTTAATGTCGACATTATAAAGAAAGGAATTCATTAATAACTCATTAATAACAAATATTAAATTCAGCTGATATTATAATTAAATTAAATGTTTTGTAATGTTATATAATTTATAAATAATTATTCATAATATAAATTTATAAATAATCATTCATAAAATACCAATTATTTAAATTAGTTTTCATATTTCAGATATTGATACATCTTTTACATTTTAGTTGCATATCTATTAAAGTAGCCTATTAATATTATTGAAAATTATTTCAAATTGTTCGCACATGCTTAAAAAATCTAAAGTTATTTGATAATCCTAGTCACGATGATTTTTCGTTTTTTAGATAAGATAAAAGCGAAAAAGATGTTAAAAAATATTGTCATTAATTAATGTTGCAGCGACTTATTCTTGTTGCATTCAAGCTATTAAGGCTGTTAACGCTATTATGATTATTAACAGTAGCAATAGTAGTAATATATTTAATATTACCATATATATTATGCTACTATATTATATCATATATATTACTATTATATATATTATAATTTTTCATAAGTATACTTACAACATTACGTACTAATATTCTATCTAAATATAATTTGTAATTTTTTTTTTATAGAATCCGTCGATAGATGCTTTCTACGTCTATGTTATCTACTTCTAAAAGTATGTTAATATGGAATCTTTTTGTAAACTAAATACATATGCATTTACGAAATACACGTTTTAAATACAATTTTAAATACTTCCACTAGGGATGAAACGGGAATTGAATTAAAATATACATGTATGAATACTTAAAAGAAACTTAATTTTCAAAAATATCGTTTAAACATGTGAATTTATAATTGAAACGTATGTCATAAAAATGTTACAATAAATTTTAAAAATGGGAAGCATCTATTACTGAATGTAGAAACTCGTTAATACGGATCTCACATAGAATACTATTAATAGCATGACGAAGAAATGAATGATATAAAAAGAAGTACATAATTAGTTGTTTTGTAAAATGTATGTTCATATGGCACAGCTGCAGCTGAAAAGCACCTTCATGCACATTTCTCTTGAAGTAGACTTTCACTTTGTTAGAATATACTTGTGATAAATTACGTTTGTACTATAATTAGAAATATGATCTTTTGATTGTAATTCACATTTATCAGGATATATAATTTTGTTTTCGAACTTCAATTGGATCTTATGAATTTATATTTAAACAAAATATTACAGAAAGAAAAACTAAAACTTTGTAAGCGCAAGATTTTATATTTTTACATGTAAAAATTTTTCATATCTTTTTTTTATTTCAATGCAAGACTGATATCTGCGGATCATGAACTGTTATAATTTCTTAAATATTTCTTTGTGTTCAGTATTGTAATTTTTATTCATTATTTTTAGTTATTAAGTGAACAATTTTTTTTTTTATTGCAATCCAGCAGATTCAAATCAGTTGTTCAAGGAAGTTATTATAGAACTAAAATATATAGAACTAATTTTAAAACCTGTATTTATTTTAAATATCATTAAAATTTCACAAAATTTTAGTCTATTTTTTTGTAACATTTTGTTTCAGCTATATTCGCATTAATGTCATTTTAATATTTTGTGAATCTATATAACTTCCTGCATGATTTATATTGTCAATGTTATCAAAATTATTAATATTTTAATTATTTTAAATTTGATGCTTACAGGTTAAACGTTAAAAGACAAATTAATGATGTTTCGAAATACAATCGTATGTTAATAACAATTTATATTAACGCAATGTCCCGTGAACATATTGCATTAATTTGTCTTTGGTTATTATCATTTATATCATATTAAAATGGAATTTCCTATAAGCGTCAAACGCACGTGTCTCGTCAGAAATTTTTCATACGCAACCCATTTGCTTGATACGAATTGTTGATTTTAATATTGATTATACATATTTGGTCTCAATTATTGTTAGTATTCATATATTACAAGTAAGGATGTATCGATCAATACACAATTATATTTTGTTAGCTATATTTTATTTTTTATCGATATTTTACATTGCAAATCACGTTGTGGCTGTTTTATACAACTAGATAGCAATTAATGCTAAAGATCTCAGATACGTTAGGATATGCAACCTATAAAAGAATATCAAGTACGCAGCAAAAAAATACATATATTTATATGCTCACATAATATGTATGTATACAGAATTTTTGATAGGATACTAACATAAGCGATGTTGTCATCATATGCTATTAAATATATTGCAATAATTGTAAATATTTTACAAATATTGTCATTTTTGACTTGGACAGATAAATTTTTTGAAAAATTGCTGTATACGTACATAATATATGATCGTTAGAATAGACTTATTGTTAAATATAGCGAAAAGAAACGTTTCGTTATTGAAGCGTGTTATAAAACTGCGATTTTAATAAGGTATATATTTACAAAATATAGTAATAGGAAGGAATTTAATTTAGAACGATTAATTATGATTTTATTTCGTTTTCTCATGTGTACAAACTCTAATGTATCCTATGTACATATAAATCAACTTATTTACTGAAAATATAATGTGAAATTACTGCTCCATTTGTCATAATTCATTTTATCTTTCTTTTTTATAGCTATCCCCAATGCTTTTTATAGTTCTTTTGCGTTAAAAATGAAAAAATCTTGCTTAACATTTTTTGTAAAATGTAATGGAAGCACTTTACAATAGACATAAAAAATTACCAAAAAATATTATATAATATAATTCACGTTTAATTATAATTTAAAAATATAAGAAATACTTTTTTTAAGAAACCAATTTACTGTAAAAGAATGTTAAAATCGTGATATATTTAAATTTTGTTGCATTTTGCGTCTTTAAATATTGCGTCTTTTAATATCGAAACATGCAATTTAAAATAAGAGTAAAAAAAGAAAAGGCAATCGACTGTAAAGTAATTAAATTGCGGTATTTAAAGCTTATTAATACAAACATCAATCAAACTAGATGACAATTTTTCTTCAAATTAAGCATTTGCTTTTTCAAATTTCAGGACTTATTAAAATTCGTATTGAGAAATGAAAATTAAAATTTTTGCTACTGCACTTCCGGCAAAGAACGTATTATGATAAACTTCCATACTTAAATCAAGTTCGATTTCCTGGGGGCCTTGTATGCTTCGTGTCATTATTAAAACAGCTTGCTGTGGTGCAGGCCTTTTCAATGCGAAACACGATTCCGTAGCGCGTTGTACTCCAGGTGGTGCACGCGCTTCCAAGAAGGTCATACTGAATTGCATCGTCGACCCTGGCATGTGATATCCTTTCATTTTAAACAATTCTTCCGGTTTGTTGGGTGCGATCGGTAACATGCTCACAAGAGTGATGAAGTTGTACGAATAATGCGATGGTTGTCTAAGACAAGCTGGATCGTTGATACGACAGGGCCAGGATTTTACACATCGGCTGCAATTTCAATAATTTACTAGTCTCAACAAATGCTTACACAAAAATTAATTAAATTTTATGTCTGTGTGTATGTACGGTTCCATTTAGACAAATCTAGCGTGTGATTATAATATAAGATATTTTCCTCGATAGAGAACAAGTTTTATTTCAAATATTTTTTCAAATAATGAATAGTTGCGGAGATTAAAGTGTATAAGTGAATTAAAATAAAATATTCTTTTTTTTTTGTTTCAAAACATTTTATAATATATACATATACACACATATATATATGTATATATATGTATATATAATAACAATATATAAAATAATATAATAGTCTTTCTCTATATAAGACGGATTTGTTATAAATTATATTTCCATATTATCAATATTTTTTAATGTTTTTATATGGTTCAAAGGATAAATCAGTTTGTCTTATTTCAAATTCGAAGAAAAAATTATAGTAATAACAAGTAGTATATTGAATGCGTCATTGTATTAAATTAAATATGTCGTCACCATTAAAAAAATGTCAACAAAAATTATCTTGGAAGCAAAAATCATAAACTATTTGTCGAATTTAAATAACTTTTTTTTGATATATATTTTTGTATCACATAAAAATAACAGAAATATAGCGTAAAATCTTGTATAATACTAGATATTTCATCAACTTCATTCAACTAATTCAAGTATTTTAAATAATATGCGAAGATAAATTTTGATAGTGATTAATGGTAAAAAATAGTTTTCTTTAAATGGATAAAACAACAAATTTAAATATAAAAATAAAAAAAATTATAGTTCGTATATAAAAAGCAAATATTAAGAAACAATATTATTTACGATATTTTGGTGACAAATTTTTTCCTCAACTATCATAAAATGATCAATATAAAAAATAATTTAGTTTTTCCAAAAGTTTCTACTTATTATCTGAAACGATGATTGTAGGGGACGTGTCTCTGATTGCGAGAATTATTTTATGGGACTGACCGTTGTCAACAACACATTTTAGTCGAAAACAAGACGACTTGATCCGTGATTGGGAAGGACATAAAGAGAGTTGGCCTTACATGCATAAGGACCGACTTAAACGCGACGCGAGTAGCACAAGATACAGTGAAGATAGTTCGATTCGGTTTGGTTTACGTGCATATTCCTCTCCAACTTCTACGAATGCGCCTGAGACGTCTCACCTCACTATCGACAAATCTCGCAACGATCACCCTTACTGTGTATTTCCAAAACGATAATTAAAATGACTTGTATATTTTATTATAAGTTTGTTCTATATTAGCTGCTCTAAATATTTATGATGTCGAAATTTTAGAATAATATTTTGTTAATATAAGTTCGATTGGAGATATTCTTACTTTTTTCTTTCATGATCACGATGATATCCCGTGGGACAGTTTATTTTATTGCAACGGAAGCCACCTCTGGTGTTGTGGCAAATTTCATCTGCTCCTCTGCAGACATTTTCTACTTGGCACTCGTCGATATCTTGAAAAAAAGGAAACAATCAATTATTTTGAAAGAAATTACAACAGTTGTATTATTGTCACGATGTGTTATTGTCATAAGAAAATCAAGGACAGATGAAACAACTTGAGATTCAAGTAATGGCCCAGATTTCCGATGACTGGGTCAAGTACAGACGATAAGTGTGTAACAACGAGATAATGGAGATAGAACACGCTTTAATAAACGACAAGAGTTCTTATCGTGCATACGCCACGTTTTACTATTGAATTTTTTATAGTTACAATTTACCCGTTACAATTAATGATAAATAATTTTTAAGGATGTATTATACTGCCGCAATGACAATGCAATGAAATACAAAACTTAATTAAAAAAAAAAAAACAGATTTTTTTCATCTGAAAACAATAATAATAATATGCTTTGAAAATACTGAAAATTAAATAAATTATTGAAAATTAAATAAATTTGGTTGCTGAGTTGCACTCAGCAACCAAATTTTTACCATTCTTTTCATTAAAAGAAATTAATATTTCTTAATTAAATTTATATTTTATTGCTGGTATTTCTTAGATTTCTGAACTTAAAAGTTACGTAAATATCGTGTATTTAGCAATTATTTCAAAAATCAAATCCCGAGTAAGAAAAATTCATTTTATATTTTCACTTTTTTACTTTATAATTTTATATTAATCTAGGTACATCATTTTTCGGAGGATTTTCAAAATTAACAAGTAAATGTAAGATTAATAAGCAAATAAAAATAATAATACCTTCGCAAGTACGACCGTTAAATCCGAGTTTGTAACCATCTGGGCATTTACAAGCATAACTTCCTGGTGTGTTTTCACAAATTCCTATACACAAATTGTTCTTTTTGAACTCCGTACATTCATCGACGTCTGTGCAAGAACGATTATCAGGATTCAACCTGAATCCAGGTTTACAAGCACATCTATAACTACCCCATACATTAAAACACATATGTTGACACAAATTAGGGGTTCGTTGGCACTCATCAATATCCTAAAATATTAAATAAGAAATCCAGGAATTAATCCGACAGTTCACACTCTCTTAATAATAAAATTACGTTCATTAATAAATAAAAAGATGAATCAATAGATAAGTTACACCACTTCTGCATTTTAAAAAAGATACAGATGAATGAAAAAATTCTTTTCCATTATCGACATAAATTATTAATCAATTATTATTTTTCAATATAATCATCGAATATTTGTAAGTATTTATCGTAAAGAACAAAATTTATTTCATTTGATTATCTATAATAATTTTAAACTTTGAAATATATAAGTATTGAAATATTGAAATATCTAAGTCTTCCTTTCATTTGGCCAAATAAACATATAAAATTATATGGCGAGAGATATACATAGATCATAAAATGAATATTGTTACTATTTCAATTGAAGTTTATAGAATTGAAAATGTTATGAAAAAGCATCACTTTCCTAGCGTTTTTTTCAAATTATTTATTTTTTTAAATGATTTAACTAAATTTGAATATCAACCCTTTCGCCATCAAGGAAATATTCGCGTCACAATAGTGTTTATGTCTCTTTATGAGACTATGGTAGCAAAGGAGTTAATTCGAATATTCTTACTAGGGATTATTACTTTGTGAATTTTCTTTCGTTATTAATATTAACAATTCTTCTCTTTATAACTTTTTTCATCACTGTTAATAACTTTCTCATGTTTGTTTTCTTAAATCGCTTTATATTTGATTTTGCTTTAATCTATGAATGTTATCATGTGTAAATGTTATATTCTCTTAATCTATGTATAAACATTAGAAAAAAGTTTCATTTAAAGTTTCGTTTAACGAACTCTATAATTTTTTTTTTTCTTTAATATACGTTATACTTCAAATTTATTTATGAATATTTTTTTCATATTTTGATAAAATTGCATATATTACAATCAGTGGTTGTATTTTCTGATTTGTAATATCAGACAATTTTTTCTAAAATTTCTGCACTATTGTATTTACAATCTTTATAAGAATACTAGATACAGTGAGCTATGATACGAAGAAAACGTCATGTTTACTAGTAAAAGAATAATACGGTATTTACTTGAGACTTTTGAAAAAGAATATATGTTTGAATGATTTGGCTAGGCAACAGAAGTTTTTAACCGTCGTCTTGAATATCTCGCCGTGTGATGACTATGATTGATATTCATGATTGTATAGAATATAATATCCGTAATCTTAATTTATCTTGCAAAATACAGTAGTGAACATCTCAAACTATGTGACTGATTAATTTGTTGAAACATATTATACGATAATAACAATGTTCTAGTGGTATAATCACATAATGTCAATTACAATATTTAGAATGAAAATTAACAAGTAGGTATAACTCACTGATTCACTAACGTACATACTGTTGGATGCATGCAAGTTTTCGACTTCATACCTTCGAATATCTAATATTCATATTTTTGAATATCTTTCATATTTTGAATATCTCATATTTAATTAATTATAATAAGAATCTTAAATAACAAAAAATAACACTTTGTAATTTACCTGACAACTACCACCAGCAGAACCACCAATATTTTCAAAACCACTTTCGCAATTACATCGGAATGAACCAACGGTGTTTTCACATCGACTATTTGATCCACATACATTACCATAAAGACTACATTCGTCGATATCAACACAGTCCTTATTCGGTCCAGCAACGTGTCCTGGCGGACAAGTGCAAACGTAACCACCTAGTCTATTTTCGCACGTCTGATCCGCAGTACATTCATGAGTACCATTCGCACATTCATCGATATCAATGCAATATTGTCCTGATATTGGATCCAAAGTGAATCCATTACTACATATCACTTTAGATACACACCTGAAATTTAAATATTGAACGATTATTCGAGAATTAAATTCAAAACTATAACAGTCCAAATTACGTTTTAGCCATTATTTTGACAAAAATAATTGTTGCAATTTACAAGATTTATACATCAAAATGTGAAGAGAATATTCTATTGCAATTGTTTACTAACAACAAGGAAAAAATACTCCAAAAAATAAATTTCATATTAAAATATAATATAAATTCGTCTTATTTGTTATAAAATTAATTTAGTGTAAAATTAATTTAAACAATATACAATATTTTTTTGATTTTTAGATCAAGAAAATAGGTATCCATTTTCATATAGATATTAAATGTACATTACAGAAGATGAAGCTACTAATTTAATCTTCTATTTTATTGTATTCTAAATTGTTGAAAAATTGATATTTTTTGCATTTTCTCGAAAAATTATCTTCTCTTATCAATAGACAATTTTCTACAAGTTTTCTGATACTTCTGATAAAATAAATAAAAGTTAGTCAGCTTTCAATTGATGCAGTGAATATAACAATTTAGATATAAAAATTTTCCAAAAAAATCTGAAGATAATTTTGAACTTTTTAAATAGCACTATATTGACATCGAGACGAATTCAACAATCTTAACGACCTTGGCTTTCGAAATTTCGTCTTAGTCAAGAGAAATATTACTATGAAAATTATTTTATCAAATAAAATACACGTTATTTATAGTCTTTAATAATATAATATATTAGTCTACAATAATATAATATACAACGAAATTTTATTTGTTGAAGATAATTATTTTGATGTAATTTGATGGCAATAAAACAAGATTTCCTTGATTAAGACGAAATTTCAAGAGCCAAGGTCATGTTAAGATTATTATGTAAATTGTTCAATTTGTCTTAATGCTCTTTCTATTACAATATAAGGTCAAAAATATATAGTATTATTTAAAAAATTCAAGGTTACCTCGAGATTTTTTCAAAAAAGTAATTTTTAAAAAATTTTTTATATAGCCGACTGAAAGCTAACTAAATTTTATTTTGAACTTTTTTTTTATATAATAACCGGAAGTACTTAAAAACTTGTACCTTGTAAATTGTATACTCTGTATGTGTACACAAAATTTGATAATTGAACTTTCAAAATGTTTTAGCTGTTTAAAATACAACACTGATAGTGGTATATGGAGACGTGTTTGAATGTAGTTTTCTCAAAAGCATGTATTTTTTTTTTTTTTTTTAATAATATCCTAAGATAAACGGTTTCAAATATATTATGTTATTACAGTTTATATCAGAGTTAATTTAAAATCTCCTTTTTTATCTTTTAATCCGCGAAAAGAAATTAAATAGTTAAATTTAAATTGAACCTTCTCTTTCCTCGCTCTTATTCTGCTATTTGCCATATTCAAATTATTGAAATTGATTAAAAATTTTTTTGATTTTTTTATTTCGAATAAACACAATCGTGAAAACTACGAGTTTTCCTTTTAAATAAAATTTTAGAATTTTATTGAGGAATGCATACTACAAAATGCTAATGAAAAAGTTTGCGTAAATTTTTTGTGCAAAAATATGAAAATAGACTTGAAAAAGTCTATTTGTAATTATATTTGTAAATTTATTTAGCAAACAACAGAACATGAAGAATTTCAAGTGTTTGTAGATCTTATTTTCTTTACTTCGACAATATTGTAATCTCATCTAATAACTTAAAAGAGTATCGAACTGAGGAAAATAATATATGTATAACATAAATTATTAAATTAAACATGTTTTCATTAAATAAATAGTTTACAAATAGTTTAAAGTGATCAATTTGTGTAGATGGCTCATCCTGTAAAATAAAGAAAATAAATTGACTAATACAAATAAAACAAATCTTTTATATACCTATAAGATCCAACAGTGTTCATACACCGCATCGTCCTGCCACAAATACTCGAATCTTCTTGACATTCGTCTATATCAACGCATTTTCCTCCAGAACCAGGTTCAAATCCACGTGGACAATTATACATTTTTTCAGTAGTTAATGAAGTAGAAGTAACAGATCTGAATGTAGATGTTGATTTACTAGTTGTAGTTGTCAGTGGCGTTGTGGTGTCAACACGAGGTTGTGGGACCGGTATACGTGGATTACGATAGCATCTAAAAGAGCCGAGTGTATTCCTACATTGATAACCTGATCTACAATCGTGTAAACCAAGCAGGCATTCGTCGTCATCTTCGCAGATTCCAGTGGCTGCATTCAGAGTATATCCAGTACCACACGACAGATAACGAGTGCAAGTATAACTACCTATAGTATTATCGCATCTTTGACCTTGCAAACAAATATCTTCCTGAAACGAAATTTTTACGTTTATTACATTTAAATGTAATTTCAATCAAATTTATTTCATATTACAATGATAATTACAATGATAATTATATCATTTTATTAATAATGATAACAATTATTTTTATTGGCTTCAATTTTATATTTCATTACTATTAATAATGCATCAAAAATACAAAAATATAAAGCTCAAGTTTCCTAATATTATTTTTCTAAATGTTCTAAATATTTATTTTCTAAATATGATTACATGTATATATCTATTATAATTTTTATCATACATATGTATATGTAGAGTACCAAGAAAATATTATTGAACTTATTTTGTTTTCAAAAACATAGAATAATTAAAATATGTAAATATTTCTAAATAATCGGGAAATAGTAATTTATAAAATATATAGCAAATAGATTCCTGGCTCTATCATTATGATAATCTTTTAATGTATTACGTATGTATTATATAAATATTAAGCATATATTAAGCTAAAAAAATTTAGCTCTTGAATTGTCAGAATATCTTTTAAATTTAAATTTAAATTTTTCTGAGTTTAGGTAATTTGGGTAACTAAAAATTAATTTAAAAAATATTTTATTCTGACCAAGATCAGTTATAATAATTACATGAAATCAGTTATCAATAAAATGATGTTTATAAGCAAACATAAAAATATCAAAAGCACGTCTGCAAGATTTGTAAAAAATATAATTTTTCGACATATAAATTGAATATTTTTTATTGCAAAAAATAAATTAATTTCAAAAGCGAATAAAAATTTTGAAATATATAATTGGATATTAAATCGTAACTATTGACATTAAAAAGATAAGTTTAGAAAAAACTTTATAGTAGACGTATAATCTTATAGGCATTAGTGTTTAAAGTAAAAATTGTAAATAAAATCTTTTATAAAATTTATTGATATTATTAACATCATAACTATTTAATACATCATCAAAATACATACCCGTGTTTGACACTCGTTAATATCCACGCAGGCTTGAGTTAAATTCTCACGTCTAAAACCAATTTTGCATTTGCATGTGTAACTTCCTATAGTGTTAATGCAGTCCTCGTTGCTACTACATGCATCATCTATTTCCCGGCATTCATTGATGTCAATGCAATAATTTTTAACAAGTTTTAATCCAGAGGCACACTTTTTGTTCGGTAGTGTCGGTGAAGGTGTCGTAGGTGGTTTCCTAGTTTTCGGTTTTGGGGGTGTTGCGCAACTATAACCACCTGGTTGATTATAACAAACTTCACCTTCACAAGAATCCAAACCTTCCGCACATTCGTCTATATCTGTGGAATATATATATATGAGTTTAACATATAACAGTTTATCTCTCATAAGTAATTTGTTCAAAAGATTTAAAATTTATCAAAATTTATCATGTTCAATAATAATATTATGACAAAAATTGGTGATTATAATTATTATTGACTTATAATTATTAATTAATATTAATTTAGTGATTATAAGTTATTTATTAACTAATAAATAACTTGAGACGATTAATATTTTACTGCTTGAGCGAGGAAATAAATTTTTAATAATAATGATTATTTGAAATAAAGCAATTGCAAGTAAACGATTACTTACATGCAAATACATTATTAGATTAGATAATAGACAATAGTTAAAAATAATCAGCTTTGAAAAAAGACTAATGAATAATCATGAATAGTCTTTATAATGCATGATCATTTTTAATTTAAAAAATTTAAAAAGTTGATATTGAATTATGAATAAATGAAATTAAATTAAAATAATTGTATTTCAATATTATAATATTTACACACGTAAGCAATAACAAAACATATTGCAAATTAATATATATTACATTACAACAATAATATAGCTTAAACAGTGCAGTATGCTTTACATGTCACATGCAATAAGCAAACATAAATGCTGTCTTAAAATATTTTAAAATATAATAAATAAAGATTACATGGTTAATTTAAAACACTTCAATTTTCATCCTGAAAAAAATTATAAATTATTATAAATTAATTTATACATTATTTAATTAATTTTGTATATTTATAAATTAAGACGAGAAATGTATAAAAATTATATTAATTAGATTAATCTATAAATGTATAAAAATTAAGTAGAAATTAGATTAAGTAGGCATTATAGTCTACTATAGAGATAAAGACAGACAGACAGAGAGAGGGAGAGAGAGAGAGAATATTTTAAAATATATATACTACTTTAGTTCCCATTATAAGTAAATTAAATTTGAAAATTAACATATATTAAAATATACCTGTGCATTTCCTTAATCGGGGATGATATCTAAAACCGGAAGGACAAGCAGGTTTTTGATGTTGACGTTGTTCGAACGATACAGGTCTTTCGCATCTAAACACGTTACAGTACGAGTATGATTTATTAATTTTATTCTATATAAAAATTTCAAATTGTGTATTTCAATAATTCTTTGATTATATAAAAAATATGAAATATAAAAATAACACGAAAATCTATTGTATAATAGAAATTTAAAATCTGTCTTTAAGTTCGTACGTATTTATGTATGTTTTTTAATTTATATTAATAAAAAAGCTACCAATAAGAAATCATATAAAATAATAATAAATATATTGTAGATTGTAATACATTTTAATTCCTTTCCTTTTTTGCTTTGTTACTTTATTGAAAGAAGTTATAGATTAATTTGACATAAAACTATCTATAAAAGAAGAAATGGAAAATTTCAGTTTTTCATGATAAAATATTAAATTAACAATATAGACCTGTAGGTTCCAGGTAGATTGAAGCATTTTTCAGAAAGTCTAAGATCACATTTGTGTTGGCCGAGGACACATTCATCGATATCTTCGCATTGTTTAGTAGCTAGATCGTATTCATAACCCGGTGAACAAGAAGGTAATCTGGTCAAACATTCAAAGCTACCGTTTTTGTTGACACAATACTGATGTAATTCTAATCGACAAGTGTGCAGATTTTCCAAACACTCATCGATGTCGATGCAATTGTCATCGAAAGATCTCTTATAACCGTTGCTACAAGGCGGTATCAACTCGCACAAAAAAGAACCATTCGTGTTAATACATTTATGGGTATCCTGTGGACAATCATGGCTGCCTAAAAGACACTCGTCAACATCCTGGCATCCTTTTATTGCTGTATTAAAATACCAGCCAGTGGTACAAAGTGGTGAACATTTAAAGCTGCCTGGGATATTATAACATTGTTCGTAGTCTCGACAAACCAATCCTGTTGCACACTCATCAATATCTATGCACTCTCCATTTTTTATATCTCTAGTATATCCGAGATCACATGGTTCAAAAAACAAATAATGATTCTATAAAATAAATTATACGAATCTTTTTAAGCGTTCAGATTATTTGTAACTATGAAAGAAATATCCAATGATTTGAAAAATTTAAGTTGTATAAGAATTGCATAAAGAAAATTTAAAAATAAACGAATAAATGTAATATATTTAATATGAAATGAATTTTTAGTTTGTAATAAAACAGAGAAACAATAAATATATTAATACCTGCATTATATGATTTTTCTTAATACTTAATGGTCTGTTAATTATTGTTGAACTTGTTGTTGTAAATACTTCACAAGTATAAGAACCATTTGTATTAAGACAAAATTCAGTTAATACATTACAAGAATGTAATCCAAGTGCACACTCATTTATATCTTGACAAGATTCTTCATTCGAAGAGTGACTATTATTACTTAGCTGAAAGCCAGGCGGACATACTGGAGAACATCTGTATCCACCCCAGAAATTTATACATTGTTCACTGATTCCACAATTTGATAAACCATTGTTACATTCATCGATATCTGTCAGAAGAATTAAAGAAGAATTAAAATTTAAAATAATCAGATTAATATATGATAGAAATAAAATTAATTCTTTATTAAATGAAATATAAATTATTTCAATGAAAAAATTCATGTAAAAAAATAAACAATAGTTAATAAAATTAAAATAAATAAATAAAATTTTAATATTCTCATACCGATACAATCTAAACTTTGTTGATCGAACACGAAACCTTCCTTGCAAGTCGTTGCTTGATTAACAACTGGAGAAATTGAAGTTACTGATTTGTGTTCCTTTCTATACGAATAAGCTTGAGTATCTTTAATCTTTCTATCCAAATTGATATCTTTATGATTTAATGGTTCGCATCTAATTAAATAAAATATAATAAATTGTATGTATATCAATGATTAACATTATTAATTACAAACTTACCTGTAACTACCTATATCATTAATACATTGTTCATTTTCTTCACATGAATGCAATTGTTCTTTACATTCGTCCACATCGATACATGCTTCCTTAGAATTATTTATCGGCTTATAACCCGCAGGACAAGTCAATAATTTGTCAGTTAAGAAAAGATCAGAATGATTCGAGGGTAAGCATTCATAACCACCTATTATATTTTTGCAAGTGGTATTTAAGTTTAAACACGGATTACTGGATCCGAAGCATTCATCCACATCTACAAATATAATATGTATAAGTAAAATAAATGAAAAAGAGCAATGTTTTCATAAAGTTTTCAATGAAAATTATATAAAAACTAATAAAAAATAACTTTTGTAATTAAAATAAAAAAAAATTATAGAATAGTTATTCAATTCATTCGGAATTTAAACAAAAGATTAAGAAAATTGTATTATTAAAAAGATGTAAGAAAATTCTTACTCACATGCAAGTAAGATACATGCTGGGTCAACGTAAATTCACATACTAGTGTTCACAGTAGACTATTTTCAGACGATTAATTAGTTAAGATATGGAAAAAGTTTATATACATGCACATACCTATAAAAACAGCTAAAAATATCAGAGGAAAAACTTATTATTAATGTAATAGATATTAATGTAAATAGTTCATCTCATGTAGCATATTAAAAAAGAAAAGTACATTCATAATACATTAAATAATAATCACATTAATAAAACATAAAATAGTTACCTGTGCAGGTACCTAAATTAACATTATAGGTAAATCCTTTATCACATTTTACATCACACTCATAAGCACCTTCAATATTACGACATTCCTCTGTACCCTCCAAACAGCTATGAATTCCTTCTGCACATTCATTCACATCTAAAAAAAGAAAAACAGTAAGAAAAAAAGAACAAATTGATATCTTTTCGTTAGTATCGCGATCACAGAAAGGTTTTATTATTAAATAAATAAATTTTATTCTTAAGTAGTTCATTTTTAATTTAACATTTTAAATACCTTCGCATTGCTGTGACAATTTATTGAATTTAAATCCAGCGGGACAAGATTTTATTCCTTTCATTTCTAGACAACTAAAACTACCTTGAGTGTTAACACAAAAATTTTTTCTTCCGGAGCATGGTTCTGATAATATAAGACACTCGTCAATATCTAAAATAATTATTGAAAATAATACATGCACGAAATATTAACTTATTAATGCTAAAATATTGCTTTCATGAGTAAAAAAATCATAGTAGATAATTTCAATTTTTATTGAACTCATTTAAATTCAATATTTATTGAAAGATAATTAATATAATAAATATTAATATAATATATTAATAACAGCTTAACGTAATATATTAATATTATAAATATTAATATAATAAATATTAATTATGACTTTCAAATATTAATTCTCATACAATTAAATATTATGTAAAATAATAACAAAATATTTTTATTTTTTTATACGTATAATTACACTTTAGTAGTATACCCATAATATTTCATATAATTTTTGTACGAAATCTAACGGAAGCTATTATTAAAATAATCCTTACACGTGCTAACATACAAAGTATTTCATTGTCAAAAGAAATTCATTAACTCAAGAAGCTATTATTAATATATAAAGAAATTGATTCTCATACATCTTAGTAATAAATGTTCTCAAAATCAAGTATTAATCCAGCAATTTTTTGTATTTTATTTAATAAAATTTGGAATTCCTAAATACATACAAAAAAAAACTATTCTTGTATCTTAAAAATTGGTATGTTCAAAGTTAAACTAAAAACATTTATATGATAATAGAACAATAGATAACAGACAATAGAACATATATCACACAACACAATAAATAATAGAACAGATATCTAATATTCAGTATCCCAATTTATTTTTTGCTAAATGATACTGCTAGCAAATAATATTTGTATAATATAATATCGCTCTCGAAATTATAAGAAACACTTCATTTTTAATTTTAGATGTTTAAATTTTTATTTTAAATTTAATGAATGGCATTTAAAGTTTAAAACAAAAACTCTTTATAAGAAAATGTAAAAATAATAATAATAACATCCAATAAATCAGTTACGCAAATATTTCTTTATATATTACCGCAAATATTTCTTTATATATTTTGTTTTCGATAGCAAGAATTAAATTTCAATTAGAAATTAATAGAAGACAAAAAAATTATTAAAGATAATCAACTTAAGTAATGTATTCTATTAATGAATAATTAATTAAAAAGAATGAAAAATCTGATTCATTTTCCTTAAGGACTGATACAAATTATTAACGAAATATTCTGAATAAATCTGTTAGACAGATGAGATTATATCCAATTTTAAAAAATTGCAAAGATTGGATTAAAAATAATTACGATATAAAAATATAAAAACCATTTAAAATTGTTTAAAATTATGAAACAGGAAAGATATATAAATATATTTAATAAAAAATATATAATTTTTTCGAAGTAAAAATGTAAAGTAATCTTAATCTAGGTAGTATTAAAAATCAATTACGCTTTAATAAAATGAAATATTATAAAATCATAAAATAAATTAAATAATTTAAATTAAAAAAAATAAGTACGTATCTGTTTTATTACATGTTGATATTATAAAAATAAGCCAAAAGTATTATGAGTATTTAAAAAACTAAAAAACTGTGTTTTAAAATATTATCTATTTTAGTTATCGGTACGATTGATAAAAATAAAACTAAAGTCAAAATTGCTCAAAAAAATAAATGACATTAAATATATTAACTAACTATTAACTAGTCACATTCTTGCTTTATCTTGGAAAACTAAATTCTTCAATATATCTAAAAATAAAATAATTATTATTTATTTATTGTATATATATGTAAATAATTTATATTTATTATTTGTAACTGTAAATACTTGTAAATGTAATTGTAATTGCGAATAATTGTAAATATTGTGTAATTCATAACAATAAGATTCTTCATTCTCAAATATTTCAAGTATTTTACATGGATAAGCTAAATTAAGTGAATTCTAAATCACCAGTTGTTAAAAATTTTAAATAATAATAATCTATAAGTAATCTATTGATCAATAAATCTACACTATCAGTAGTAACTGTATAAATATGATTAATGCAACTTAAATAAATAAATATGTATACAAAAATAATAACAATTGATTTTTTTTAATAAAAGATTATATTTCAATAGTAGATGAAGAAAAATTCATTCATAAACTTAATGTATTGTTATATTTTAGAATGATATCCAAAATAATATGTCATCTCAAATTGTTAAGAACAATAGCAACTTATGATATCAAAATTGAAATCAATATTTCTCATCAATTTTAAATTTAGACACATCTGTATTTGTAGAAAATTCTACTATTTTTACTTCATAATTTCTAAGAATACATTATCTTTGTGTATATTAATTTATGAAGTTATAAAAAAATACAGTATTATGTAAATACTTGATCTGTTTAGATTTACAGGAATTTTTCTTCTTCAAAAGATCTAAATACATAAAATAAATATATTTGCTAAAAATGGAAATCATAAAATAAATTACGATAAATGTACATTAAAAAGGTTTAGTAATTTTAAAATTAAATAGATTCATACCTGTACAAAGACCTGTAGCGGGTTCCCATTGATAACCAGGAGGACAAGTATCCTCTTCGTAAGAAACAGATCTAAGTTTATCTTTGGACGTGCATATATAAGATCCTATATTATTTTCGCAATGACCAGGACATACTTCTTTTTCTATACATTCGTTCACATCTAAGCAGTGGAACACATAATGCCAACGACCATGGACATAAGCGAAATTGCAATGCAAAATAAGAGAAAGGAAAATGCTCGAAGGTAAAGCTCATATTGTTAAACAAACATAAAATACGCTTGAAAATAAACTTGAAATTTATGGAACAATGAGAATTTCATAATATCAAAATATATTTAAAATGACAAATAAAAACAAGCAATTCAAATAGAATGAATTATTACGAATTAATTAAATATTCAAATTTGATTTCGAAGATGTAATGCGATTAGCGTGCATCTTATATAATGTAAATACTTACATATCGTATCTTTAGGAAAAAAGTGATGAAAGTCAAAAAACAAAACTTTTAAATTATTATAAGAATAAAATGTTGCAGAGATAGCCTTTGACCAATTATCAAAATTTTATTCATTGATCTTTATAATTTTGCCGGTAAAAAGGAATTATGTTTGCTTTTTCTAATTCGCGTGACATTACATTCGATAAATACCTTTTAATACCTATGAATTTTGTCCTAACTATCATTAATGAAAAATGTATATTGATAAGGTACTATTTTGAACTGCATTGTTTCTTTAATTAACAAAATAATATCTAATTCTGTTTAAAACCAGTTTTTCAAGTTGTTACTTTTTTCGCAAGATCGCGATATAAAATTGATTATAAAAATTGATTCATAAAAATATTTCATTTTGTAATATTCATATATTATAAAAATATCTCTCTTTCTTCATATTTGATAAAAATTATTATTTGACAAATTTAATATCTTTGTCATACTCACCATCGCAGACTTGATTGGTAGCGTTGTAACGATAACCAGTTGGACAAAGAGGTAAAAACTCGTTATCATCCTCCGAAGTTGTACTTTTGTTCTCGAATTTTTTTGGTAAACAAGAATGTTTATCCTTCGCTAATATGTAACCGGGATTGCAACTGCACGTAACTGCAACTCCATTATCCGTACAACGTTGTTCGCATGGATTGCTCGACTTGCATCTATGCCATATGCAATTGCACATTACATAGTATAATTATTGAATAAGAAAACTTTATTTTCTTTTAAAATATTCAATACACCAATTAATATTTTAAAGGGTTAATATTAGGACAATTCTTTTAAGTAAGATAACAATTAATTAATTAAAATAATTATTCTTCTTTCTAATTATTTTTAATTATTTTCTATTCGTTCATTTTATAGCAGCATATTATAGCAATATTTTAACTAACATTTTGAGAGTCATTAAAAATGTAATCATTTAAAATACAATAGATTTCTCTAAACCAAATATCTGATAAGATATTAAATCAATTGATTAAGATATTAAAATAGGAAAAAACTAAAAATATTGAAAGATATTGTTTAGGAACATAATAGAAATATTATATATACAAAAATATAATCAATAATAAATTAGCTGGAAGTATTAATTATCAATATATCAAGATATATTATAAATCTATAAAAAATAAATAAATTTTTTAAATTACTTTTAGCATTTTGAGGTTACAATATATTAAAAAGACCAAATGAATGAAATACCATGTTTTTTCAAAGTTTTTATAGAAAGTACGTTTTATAGATTATGTCTGAATGTGTCTATAAGTAAGAATATGTCTATTTACAAAATTTTTAACAACAACATAAAGCATTTTTGTAAAATAAAAAACTTGAATGTGAAATTTATTATTATTAATAATATATCTTAATTAATAAATTTATTAAGATTTTTATCATTTTATAATAATAAAATATCGTATTATAATAATAAATTGAATAATAAATTTATATATTACTGTATAAAATATAAATATATGTAATAAAATGTTTGAATTTAATACTAATGTAATTATTTTAATACCAAATATAAATAATGCTGAAATAAATGGTATATCAATTTTAAAAATTAACATACACATAACTTTAACAAGAAACATTTAAAAAATGTATTGTGAAACTTATAAAACTAAAATATAATGTATAAATATTTTATAAAACTATACCTGTCAATAGGTAAATCTTGTCTGCAAGTTTTTCCATCTTCCAATAAACTAAAACCTTCACGACATTTACAATAATAAGATCCTTGAGTAGGAACACAAATGTCAGAACACAATAATCCCTTCATAAGTTGGCAGATGTCATCTAATGCTATAAATTAAGTTTGTATGTTATATTAATTATAAATTATTCACTGTAATAATAATTATTTTTACTAATTGTAAATTGATCGAAAAGTAATGTAAGATATTTTTTTAAATTGAAGTTCTTAATTGAAGTAAATTTGATTATTAACGATTCCAATTAGAGTTAATTTTTGAAAAAATTTGATGGTTTTAAGAAATTTCAGTAATGGTTAGATCTTTTTTTTTATATGTGTAAATTTAGTAATTTGTTATTAACATCTATCTCTTTTCTACTTATTTTTTTATTTCTTAATTGTGTTGTTAAATCATTTATAATTTCTTCTAATTGTTTTCTATGTTACAAAATACTTATATCTTCATATCTTTTTATAAGAGTTTTTACATTTTTATAAAATAATCTGATTTATCTTTGAAATTTTAATTGCCTGGATAAAACAATAAATCATATTCGTACTATATAAATACGTTTCACAACATTGCCATATACAAAAAGAAATCGCGGAAATTCTTAGTCACACAATTATTTTACAGTTATTTCATAATTATTATTAATAACTATTTAACAGTTATCTTTTTGTGGACTTTACTTTCTACACTTCAAATAATTTTGATCATTATTTTTAGACTGAATCATAATTAAATGACAAAACAATTAGAATTTTATATTCTTAAAATTCTTTACCTTTTTAACGACAAATAAAACATTAATGTTTAATCGTATTTCATAAATACATTTTTACAAATTTATTTTTATAGGAATTTAATTTTATTTCTTACGAGGTGTAGGTATTGACAAAGAAGAAGAGGTTGAAGCCAATGTTGGAGTAGATAACGAAGACGTTGATATTGAGGATGAAGTATCAGTAGTCTCAATGAACGATGTTGCGTTTGTAGAATCTGTTGGAGCTGATGTTGTACTTGGTGACGCTTCGTGGCAACATTCTAAAAATGCAGGATCCCATGGATTTCCAAAAGTAAATTTCTTAAAAGCACATCCTTGTCCCATAGATCCAGTTAAAATACCTTTAATGAAATTTCGAAAGTATTGAAATATACAACATTGTTTTAAAACTACATAGGGAAGCGTCGACTATGCAGTACCGACCAAAATTAATTAATTAATTAATTTTGACTTTTCTTGAAGTGTTTTTAACACTTTATTTGACAAAAAACAAATGAATCTAACAATTTTGCTCTATACATTCTAGAGCCATATTATTTATTTCATTGTTTCCATTATTTTCACACGGTAAGTGTATACTTTGAAAATTGATAAAAGATTTTATACTATTATGTCTATTGCTATATTCAATTTATTAAGTATAGTAAAAAGTTTTGCAATTTTTTTCATATATCACTATTGTCTAAAATGTTAGTAATAAATCAGTGATCAGAGCAATCAGTTGAAAAGTTGAAAAACAGTTAAGAAGAGAAAGTAAGAAAAGATGTAGTAATTCAACAAATTAGAAATTGATTCTAATGAAGAAATCATCCATTGTGTCATTTGACACAACGTGAGTTTCTTTTAGAAAGATTGGATGCAGTGCATCGAATGTGAAGACTGGGAACATATCGAATATACAGACCACGAGAATAATAATTATTTTATCTGAAAATATTTGTAGAAATAAAATTTAAATAAAAATATATTCTTGCATTTAAATATCTTTGTTGGTCATTTAAGCATTGTTAATCGTTTAGAATTAAAAACTTATTAATTTAAATAATTGATTCAATACTGGACGATAATTTTCGGATTCCTACAAACTACGAACTTTTCATTTTCACGAATTATCAATTTTCAACACAAATCATTGTCCTCCATTTATTATTAAATTTCATTTAAATTACAAGCTTATTTTTGAAATTTTAATTTTTATCAACTCTAACTGAAGATTAGGAATGGATCGAAACATCAAAACCTCCCGAAACGTAAAAAATTTTCAAGTTTCGAGAATTCGAAACTTTGTTCTTTATTCGTGATTCGAAACTGTTGAAACTCAAATAAGAAAAATATAAAATCAATAAATATACCAAACGCTCTATGAACTTTTGTTTTTAAGAATATGAGCGTATTGTAATTCTGAAATGATAATATAAAATATCAAAATCTAAAGATCTTAAACAAGAATCTAGATTATATATTTTTGTATATCGTTATGTTTCTACTTATATTTTGTTTAACTGTGGCCAATAAAAATTTATGTAAAAGCATTAACTCCAGTTTTCAAAACAAAATAAAATCAGCAATTCAAGTTTCAAAAGTTTCGATATCTTACAAAGGATTTGACTTTCGAAAATTTAAAAATTAGTTTTGAATCTACCCCTAGTCAAAGAATCTAGACCTAAGATGTAACAAAAAAGTTTTTAAAACTGTCTACAGTGTCTAAAACATTAAAACTGTCAACAGTGTAAATAACTGTTTTCTACATGTCATATACACATGTATTATAAGGACCAATAATATCATATTTTATGATTTATTTTATTGAAAGAAAATAGTAATCTTTTTAATGTCCATTAAATCATTAAATTAAAACTCCTGTTATTTAAATTATTAAAATATATGATATTGAAATGTATATTTTTTTCAGTGTAAAAAGCAAAATAACAGTGACCGTTATGATTTCTACTATGATTTCAATGAATGAATATGAATAACAATTGCGTATCTAAAAATTTTCAGTATTAAAGCTAATGAAGAGTAAAAGATTAAGAAAATATTTTTTTCTTTGAAATTATTTGTAATATATCTATATAAAGAAAATTACCTAATTTACAAGCTTCACAACAGTCGCGATGATAATCACCCGGTCCTGAATATTTGCTTTTGGTATCGGAAACACATGCTAAACCAGCATGCGCGTCTAACTTTCCTTTCTTGCATTGTTCTTCGTGATAAGTTCTTATGCAACAGATATCCACAGCCTCTAAGCAAAGACCTTGTTCAACCGTTGGTACTCCAGACACCGGTCCTGTAAACTTTTCACACTTGAGTCCTTCCAAAGCCCAAGAAGTACCAAGCCCACAGCATTTCTCAAATTCTGCTTCCATTCTAGCTTCGCTGAATAATACTCCTGTTACACAAATCAAATATACCTAATAACTCTCAAAAACTATGTAATAATTTTTTCTTTTTTATAAATCTATAAGTCTTTTTTTTATAAAGCTTTAATCATTATTTCATAAAATGATTAAAATATCAAAATTCTCAATATTTAGCTGTCGACATTTAAAAATCTATATTATACCTAAAAACTATTGTTGACTCTGAAACTCCAGTTTATCGGTTCTCAATTTTACAATATACTTGATATTAAAAGTTAAATAACTATTCTTTTGTTTTTTTCAATGATTCATTTTTCTTTCATCGTTTCTAATGTTTAAATTGCCATGGAAAAAGTAAAACAAGGACATGAAATATAGTTATTTTTTATGATAAGCTTATGACGTAAAGTTATATCTTATTTGTCTATCATTTTCACAGAATTTAAATCTCTTGCAAAATCCATCCTGTCGCTCTAGCATGTGCAGCGATAAGAAGAACAATTGTAGTAGATAGATACTTCTTAACAATCTTTGTTATTACATCTTTGCTTCACAATTCGTTTTGTACGATATATTACATTTAATTTTTTATATAACAATAGTACAAGCTCATGACATTGCACACTATATATGTGTCAATTTTATTCAAAATTTATTCATATCGTCTAAAATATTCTCATTTACATAGTTTATTCACATAACAATATCTTTTTAAATTTTTAGATGTAGATTTTAAATGATTAGATAGAATAATATGATATAATATAAATATATATAATGTAATATAGGGTACTCCCTATTTAGCTCTATTGTATCTCCAAACGAATTCAATCATATATGAGTCATATGAATTAAACTTTTTCGACATATGAAATAAACGAATGAGTATCAGCTCATAAATGTTAATTTACGTTTGTTAAATGTTTTATACGATATTGTATTTTCGTTATATGTTTAATAAAGGATAATATTGTTTATTATAATAAACAGTATTCAGTCAATAGCTTGCTGTATTTAAACATCAAATTTTTAAACATTACGTTATAGTATTAAATTATGTACTAAACATTACGTTATAGTATTAAATTATGTACTAAATTTTTTGATATTATAATTTTAAGCTATAACTTACTTTAAGCTAAACTTTAGCCATAAATTTTAACATTTGCTGCTAGAAAATATAAGCAAAAACACAATAAATACAACGTTGTATTAATTTATCATTCATTTTTTAATTTGGAATAATAAATAATATTATTGCGATAATAAATTTTTTATTTTACCTAATATTATATTTATAATTTTTACAATTTTTGAATACATTTTTATATGTTATATAATAGTAAAAACAATTGCTATGATGTTTAATTAGAAGTCTCCATAAATCAATGAAGACTATATATACCGAATAATAACAAAACCATAATTTGTTCAATGATAAGAACGAAACCAGCACGCACGTTTCTTCGTTGTTTCATTCGAAAACTACACAACCCTTTCTAATTACCACATTTTACTGATATTATTATTATATACCATTATTTTACATTAATTAACTGGCAAATTTGATCCAAAAAAAAATTTACTTTTTTCTTAAAATCTTATCTTCTTATTTATATTTAAATATTATATTTATTTATTTTAATTTTATTTCAGATAAAATCACTCACAATGAATTAAAATTCTCTAAGTGATAAATTTCTTATTAGATTCTTTCTGATAATTTATATTAACACGCAATATAACAAGAAATACATTGAATATTAAAATAGCCGTGTAAATAAATTAAATTAAGTGAAATCATTTCAAAAGTATCAGTATCATGAAGTAATAACAGTATAAAAATAACAGTATCATGAAGTAATGCGTAATAGTGAAAAAAAAATTACATCTCATTTATAAACTGTATTTCTGGTATTTTTTATATTTTAAGAGAACAATTTATGCCAATAAATGACATATCAATTAAAGAAAAAAATATTCGCTTTAAAATTGATAAAGCAATCAATATATCCATCATTCTAACGAATTTTATTATATTCTTTTTAAAAAAATTTCTTTATAAAAAAAGCAGAAGTTTGAAAAGTAATTATATTTAATTATTAAAAACACAAATTCTTCATTTTTAGCTACGTAAGTAAATATTTATGTTATTTGTTTATTTACTCTAATTCGAAACTACATACATCTCCAAAGAAAGATTCTCTATTTCTTAATTTTTATATTATTTCTTAAATTATAAGTCGTTATCTAACTAATACTAATTTGCATTCTATCCTGAACACTTTTCAATTATTCGTTCTAAAAATCTATCGGACTTATGCGTATCAACTTCAATTATCAATTCTAAGAAAGCCATCTCTTTAATGCATATTTACTTTATCGTCTCCTTGTGAACTAAAAAAATTTAGCATTTAAATTGAAAAATTCACTTAATTTCCTCCTATAACTGACAATTAACCTGTTTAAATTGAGTTTGCTATACTTATTTAATAATACAAATATTTCGGATTAACATTTCTCGATTAACTTAACATTTTGGATATCATATTATCATCTAGTTAGGGCTCACACATTAGGTTGTACATTTTAATATACATCATAAAACATTTCCGAAATTTAGTATCGCTTACTTTATTACAGTAAAATTGAAAAATTTACTAAATTTTGCTGTTGTTTCTCTGCATTGTCTCGAATAGAGACATATAGCTTTCTTCACTCCTTCGAAAATTTATAAAATAAATAATTTTACTTGATTAAGTGACCTATCTTCTCAATGTTTATATTCTATTCTAAATGAGATTCTATCTTCTAAATTCATTATTTTTTCCTTTAAGTGATAAATAATTAAAAAATATGATTTGAACTTAATTAATAAATCTTAATTAACTTTATATTATAGCAAAACGAAAATAGATTAAAGAAAATATATCACTTATATGTAGTGTTATAGAATATATTAAGTAGAATATATACATATGTGTATACTATTACTCGTACTGTGTACAGAATATTACTAAACAGAATTTTTTAAATGAAAAATACCTTGTTTGTCCAAAGAGAATAGTTCCAATCGAGTAGTCACAAGTAAAAAGAAAATCGCACACAGATCGATGACTCGGATCATCTTCTTTCTTAAAATTCCCATAAAACGAATCGAGTGTCACATACAAATATCACAATTTTTTCAACTTCTCACAATTTTTAAGAAAATCGTCGTTGCCCGTATATGATTTGAATGATAAAAAAAATGTAGAAGTCGAAATCCTTGATTCGAAAGATCGTTTCTCTTCGTTCTCGGAGATGCGTTCCGAACAAACGCTCAACACGCATTAAAGCGTTCAGTTTGCCGGTAGCACGGTTTTCTTCTCTGCACCTTTCTGTGCGCATCTTATTTCTCGAATTATCCTTCTCTATCTTACGAATCGTTTCCCTTTTTTTCTTCAGCGTTGTCTCCGTTTCATATGCGCGCGCATAAATGTTAGACTGATCTTATCGTTAGTGATGGCACAGATCCGAAACTTGCTCAAAACTTCACTCTATTAACATCTTTGGATTTTTTCCTCTTTTATTTATATTGCTTATATATCATTATATATCTTAATATGTATATTATATGTCTTTATATATCGTTATATATCTTATTATATGTATATATCCTTGTATATCTAAATTTTATTATTATATAAATAATTTTAATTGTAATTTCAACTGTACGTGTAATAATTTGAAAATTTTATACAGTTTAGTTACTTATTGCTATACTACTGTATCTTTTAGTACATATGTATATTGTTACAGCTAATTTAAACAACACTTTTATAATTGCTAGTTCTTAAGTTCCGTCAGTTCTTAAAATGATAAAATAGTTGCTTAAACAAACAAAGTCCCAATTACATAGAATTAATACATATGTCATTACTTATGATTTCGTCGTTTAATTATTTTTATTTCATACATGGATTACTTGTCAAACCATAATTAGAAACTTTAACCACGAAATGAACAATATATCACTTTATATAATAATTTATAAGTTATTAATTTTATTGATTTTATTAATTCATTAGTTGTTATTTAATTTAAAATTTAATCATTTAAAATGCAAAACGATTCAAATAATATACGATGCTACTTTTTACCGAAATAATTTTTTACCAAAATTCTTGAATTTTATTAACTTGCACCGAGTTATTACTTTGCATATTTTATGTTTGCATGATATACCTCTGTATAATTAATAATAATAATAATGACGAAGATATCCATAAGAATTTTAATTTCATTGCTATGTAATATGTATGTCTCTTTTTCAAAAGAAACTCTCTCTTCGGGAGTCAAGAATGTGTTGATTATAATACTACATAGTGACCTCTTCTGTAGCATATGTTCCCGCTTGGATGTCAGAGATCCGTTTTTGCTGATGTTCTGTGGACAGTAGACGCTTTGTTGATCTCGCGAATTTCCGTACCACTCTCATATTTATCATCCGTGTCGTCCTTCGTTCACTTTTATCTGTATTAAATGTTTTATCTGTATATACATTTCTTGTCTTGATTAAAAATCAAAAATTAGACAGCCAATACTAATACCAATTTCTATTCAAGACCATTCTTACAAAATATGAATTTATTTTTTTTTTTTTTACTAGTTATTCTATAACGTTTAGTTAAGTAATAATCATAAAAATTATTTACATATTCTTTCTTTGATTTTGATCCAATCTATACCAAATCAATCTATATGTATATGTAACATACTATATACATATATTATCTGTTAATATCATAGTTCATGCTATGATTTTCAATGAATCTAAATATATTCTATAGAAAATACAGAAAAAACTTTTTTACTAGAAATTGGTTTTTCCTTTAATTGGCGTAAAGAAACATGGGAATATTGTTTTACAAAATTTTACTCAAAAATTCATTTTCATCGTGCAGCAGACATAAGTATTAAAAAAGAAATAACAACAAAAAAACAATAAAAAAAAAAGAAATTATCGTGTTTTTCTTTCGACGAATGTCGGTTAATCTCAGTAACAGAGAGAAATAAAAAAGAACGGGTAGCAGGAGTAACAGGCAGTAGGCCGGGAACCAAACCAACAAACTTGCGATGACCATGACACGCGTGACTCCGTAACGATCGTGTAACACCCAGAGATCACAAAGTCTTGTGTTGTGAAAAAATCAAATATTTTGTTACGGTGGTCATCTGTATGCTTACGCATCATCGTCGAACCTGGAGTTTCTTTTTTGCGTCCCTTTCAATGACAACATGTGAATGATCTAATTACATACATATGTATGTATATATACCCTAAGGAGGAACCAAGAAGTCGAAATAAATAACGTGTAACGATGATGTAATATGAGAAAGGTAAGAAATTTTTTTTTTATATCTGTAATATATTAAAAAGGTAGAATTATATTTTTAAAAAGTTCTGTCTCAAATTTCCTCAAAAGCAGTATTCTCCTTGACTATTTTAATTAAAACAATTTAAATTTAATTAAAACTATTTTAATTAAAACAATTTAACTTTATCCGAATATGTATTCGGATTATATATAAATATATAAATATATATAAATAAATATATATATATATATATATAATTAAGAATTAAATATTAACATATTATTATCATTATAGTTGTAGTAAAAATTATAGATATAATTATCTACTTATTTATTAACTGTAATAATTATCTTTATATATTTATATACTGATATAATTATCTATTAATATTTATTAACTAATATAATTATCTAATTATTTATAAAATATTAATTCAAAATTTCTATATAATTGTTTAAAACATATAATTGATTATTATTGAATTCGCAAAAATAGCGATAAATTCAATTGTCATATTATATTTTAAAATTTTTATTTTAGAAATAATAAAATGTTATTGTATATAGACAGAGAGGTTAATGGAGTAACATCCAAAACAAAATACGGTAAAAATTATGATAAAGTTTAATATCGTAATAAATTATGACCTATTGCAAAACAATTTCCGCAAACATAATTTTTTACAATATAATAGGTAAGAAAATAAAATAAAACTTACTGCCTTCGTAGAAAATACATGTTATTTTAAAGAATTATTTTTCAAATTTTTATAGATGTACAATAATCATTTATTAATTTGAAAAAAATGGTTTATTCTAACTTATCTAAACAAAATTTACTAGAAATTAAGACATTTTCAAATGGTAAAAAAAACGTCGATTATCCAAACAAGAAATTCAATTATCAGAGTACAATAACTCCATGATATTTTATGTACAGCATTTAAATAGGACTTGAATTATAAAAACTAACTTTTTCTACTACATTTTCTACATACGTAATGTTTTCTGCAGATGATACGAAACTTACATTACGCTTTCGAAAAAATATGGTAACAGAAACAAAAATGGATAAATACAGAAAGAAAAAATATTATAATAAATTGGTCATTATCTAGCACAAATGTACAATTGACATATAATTGAAATGAATAAGAGTACAATAAATACATCAAATTTTTCGAAAGAAACAAAAAGAAAAAAATACGTGGTTAATATGTATGTTTTACATATAATGTATATAAAAATATTTGCGAAAATATTAACTACTAAAAATATTCTTATTTTTGTTTTATTTACTACAACAGGTTTATTTTTTCATATAAATACTTATATTATTTGTATGTAGATCTTCATCTAATTGATTAATTGGATTTTTGCTATGTAAAATAATTTCTATATAAGTAAAACTATAAGTAATATTTATACTGAAACATTACGAAACATTACGGGTATTTTTTTTTGGCCTGGAAATTGTTTACTTTTCAAACATATCGTACTTTGAGAAACACCCTGTTTACTGTTTCTATCTTGAGTATTTAAAATATTAATTATCAAGGATAATTAATTTCCGAAATTAGTTCGGATAATCGTCGTTTAGTGTCACATCTCTGATTCTTTATACATCAACAAAACGTAATGTATTTTTTCAATGAATTTTTTACGTTTTAATAAAAATCATACAAAACGTTTATCATATATATGTTTCTAGCATGTAAATCGATTATCTGTTATCATTTTTTCCATTGTATCTCTTTGTCAACTGTTCTGTAAATTTTTACAATTTAAACTAGAGATAAACATAAAACGTAAGTCATACGTTATTTTTTAGTACAAACAATTGCATAAATTTTGATACAATTTCACAAACTTAATTTTATGTTCTTAGAAAGGAAGAAAATCAGAGATGTTTCCTAAGGTAGCAATTTAAATTAAGAGTACTATTTCTAAAAAACAATTTTACGGACAAACGAAAAATGATACAATAAAAATAAATAAGAAGATAATTCGTGCAAAGACAGTGCTTGAAAATTGATACAATCATATTGAATGTGTTTTGTTTGGGTAATGTTGTAAAAGTAAAAGTTGTAAAAGTAAATTGTTGAATCGTTTCTCGTATTAAAATTTTTTTGTATTCGCGTAACTTTAGTTTCAAATATAAAAACTCATTCCTATCTCAAACTGACAACTTTATTTCGTTCATTTACTGTATGATTGCGTGACACGAGTACGTCGATTGATTCTTACACCCAGTTGTTATAGCTTCGTCTGACTCTGATTCTCTTGTCTCGGACATAGGTATCCTTTGTGCGACCATATGTCAACTCGACGCAGGACTAATACGTCACATTAACGCATATTTTCATTAACATTGAATATTTTACTTCAGGACATTGGCTGATAATTATGACAGAATACGTCGCAGATAAGCGTACCTTATCGTTTTCTAGGAAGAATCAAATAATTGCTTACTTTGCTAATCTTTAAATATTCAGTACAAAAATAGGAATCTTATTCTAAGAGATTTTCAATATCATAACAATTTTGTGTTAATCGAAAGAGCTTTCTTAAATCGAAACTGTTTTATCCTAATAAATAGGTTTTACTTAAAAACATGTTCCTTCCATAGTTTTAAGTAATTAAATCAGATATAATTGCATGTTATTTATTTTGAATGATGTAATTATTTGATTTTTCCTAGACTCCAGAGGAAACGCTAATCAGATCTTTCAATAGAACGTTTATTTGCACTAAAATCTAAAATTGATCGCAATGTGCTCTCGGTTGGCACACCGCAGGAAATATAACAGAATTATAACTACTCCTAATTCTAACTTCACCTTTGACGCGTTAACAATAATGTATAAAAGTGCCGTTAGAGTTAAAAGTATGTGTCGAAATTATGCATGAAAAACGTTTGATATATTTTTTTCTTCGCGAAAGTGAAAAATTTATGATGTAAAATCTGGAAGAAGAAGAACGAGGTGGCCTTCATTTTCATTTTGAGTGTGACAAGTATTAATTCTTGATCAACTAAATAAAGCCATAATGAATATTTACTAAAATAATGGATTTTTCTATATTTACTGATTGCATTATACTAAATTTAATTAAGTCGTATTTATATATAAATTCATATACTGAATATGATATTTTATCATACCATGCAATATCATCAAATTTTAGTGTGGTACATTTTCAAAAATTACAAAAGAATACATTAAAACAATGAACTTCTTATATTTTACCTATATGTAAAAAATATGAAAATTTAATTAAGTTTAAAATATTAGTCCACTTCAATCAATGATAAACTTAATATGTACATATAACATTAAATTTATATTTTATATATAAAACATTAATCTATTATTATCGATATAAAAATCATAACATGATACATGATGAAAAGAACTTCATAAAAGTGTTTTATAGTTTCAAATAATATGAATTTGTAATGTTACATCGTATATATGATAAAATTATAATAATTTGTAAAAAAAATATGAATTATATTTTATAATGTGTAATGCTTTGTACACATTACTATATTTCACGATATGTTTTCAATTGACATTTAAAGTAAATTCAATTATTGAAAATATATAGTAATTTATTATTACTTGTTTTGCATTTCTAAAGCATTAAACAAATTGTAACTATGACATCGATAATTCATAAGTATGTTTTAGTAATAAATTACAATTTTTAATAAATGTATCATTTTACCATTTTAAAAAACCTCTATAATAAACATTAAACATGTATCCGAATTTACAATTACCATACTGTCACTCTCAATATTTGAAACACCTCGTTCTGGAAGTAATGCGATGGAATATATTTTTGTGACAAAACAAGACGAAAAAAGAACACCTGTCCACTATTTCGCTATACCTTATAATTTATTCTTTCCTTAATGTAGTTGTATCACGATGAAGAGGAGCAGATGTTCTTCATCGTATACTTATTATATAGAGAATGACTAGGCCATATGAATATAATTAAGGAATTTATACTATATTCCGGTACAATTTTAGAACAAAGTGCAAATCTAACTAATTTATCTCAGATAATCTTTTCTTTGTTTCGATAATTGAAAAAGCATCGTACTTTTATGTACAATTTCTTTTAATGTCGAAAACAATTAGGTCTATTAAATTCTGTTTTCTACTTTATTTCCCAATTGTCCTGAGGTTTATTCATATGGCTCAATATTTTCAGTCCTGCAAACTTTATTTATTTTCAATCAACTTGATGTGTATTTTTAGCGATTCCCTTTTAGTATCTAGACTGTAACCAATGTTATGAAAAACCAACTTTATTTCTATTCTGGTTCTTCTCCCTCACCATCTGTAGCACAAATATTAATTTTAAATTAATTAGTTCTTAGAAAATTACGTAATATAAATTTATTATAATACAATATTAAACAGAAGAAAAAAAATCATTTATACCTTCACGATCTACTTCATCATCTACCAATAAATCATCCTCTTCATTTACTCCATCATCTTCATCATTCACAGCCTCTTCTTCCTCATCGTCTTCATCTACATCTTCGACGACAACTATGCTATCGTCTCCTTCTTCAACTTCACCTGCTTCATCACCTTCATCTCCTCCACCATCTTCTTCCTCTTCCTCTTCTTCTGTATCGCAATCTTCACCATCACCTTCAATACCATTTTCAACATCCATATCGGGCGCCAAATAATACTGAAATCAAATAATTTTGAATATAAAAATCAAATTTCTTACGATAAAGTTCAAATATTATTATAAAATATATTATAATAAATTTCAAATAATAATAGATCTTTTTCTTTGATTATAGTATAAATAATTAATAATTAATAATTACCTGTAATGGATTAGGCCACATATCATCTTTGATTAATTCTGCTATTTCATCTGAACTTGGATCTCCATGATCCGTAAACCAATCAAAAAATGACCTGTGCTTTAATGGCCTTTTACGACCTTTTAATGGGGCTTTGGTTTTTGCTCTTTTTGTTAAATCTGCACCATCTTTCCAACGTATAGGTGTACTTTGAGATGCTGGATCTCCTGCAAAAAAGCAGGAGATACATCAAAACTATGATTATTCAACAAAGAATTTAATTTTTACTTGCAAATTCTTCAAAAATTATTAATGTTAAAATCATAAATAACATAATACATTTAATTCTTTCTATTATATTAAATATTAAATATTAACCTTATTAAAGAAATATTTAGAAATAATTTTTGATTCTATACAAATATAATTTTATTTTATTTAATCAATCATACGTAAAATGTGATCTATATTGTATATATCCCGATTTTATGAATTTATATATTATATATAATATTATATATTCCAATTAATATATAATATTTTAAATTAATTAAATAAATTAATATTATTCTATGAATTAATAACATTTAAAAATTTATTAAAAATTTATGAATATATAAAAAATAATACTTTTAAATGTAATAATAAATGATACGAGCAAAATTATAATATAATTAAATATTATAATATAATTAAAGCAATAGTATATGAGCCATTCAAAGGTCCAAGTGATTATATTTTATATTTTAGTGCTAAAATTCTTGATTGATTAATTTTATATATTTGAAAAAAATTTCCTTAATCACTGAATGCTCCTAAATGACAAAAATTCTTTTAGCTATAACAAATGAATTATTTCAAAAGTTAATGTTATTTATTTTATGAATCTTGTTAAATAGAAGTTATGCCTCTATTAATGTATCCTATAATATTTATTTGAGTTTAAATTTTAAAAGAAATACTTAAAAAAGAATGTAGAGATGTATTTTATCTACTTCATTACTTTTTACTTTTGTTGGAGTTAATTCTTTTGACAAATGAACAGCTCACATAAAAAATGATTTTAATGGAATTTTAGATTTAGAAATGTGCTCACCAGAAGAACCTAGATGGAATTCCTTTGTAAGGACATTGTTTTCAAAATATGGGTTTTCATCAAAATGAAAATTAATTCTATAACCAGACTTAATATCCTCAAATTCTTCAACTTCCAATTTATTTAAAAATCGAAGAGCATCTTCTTCATCTTCTTCTAATATTTCTGCTATTTCCTTATTGTTTACGAACTACATACTTAATAAGGAAATCTACTTTGATATATCGTAACACTTTTCTCAATATTACAATTTATCATATTTAATCATTTATAATATATAATATCATATATTATAATGTTTATATTATTAACGACTTATATTTTACGTTTTACTACTATGTTTTGTAATGTAAAAGTTTATGACAACTTTTATGTCTTACTATTTTAACATAATATTGAATATAAATTAAATATAGCTATGTACAAGGCAAAAGATGTGCGAAAGTATTATTTAATAGGTTGAAATTATAAACATATAACATCACGAAAGAAGTAAATATTTACATCAAAGTATGTGTAAATTATAATGTATAACAAAAATATATCATAAAGGAAAAATTGGACACACATGTATTTAAAGTGATGAAACATGCTAGAACAACGATAATATGAAATAATTTTTTATAAAGATAAATTTATATTGCATTCCGCGTGACCGCATGTAGTTATACATACATACTCGTATACGTATACAAGTAAGCAAGATGGCGACTAGCGCCGGTGGACGCCGGCATTGTCGAGAAACGTCAAAGATATATTAGTAACTATTATTAGCGAAACCATAATGTCATCGTATGAAAGGATACAGCAGTAACCCAAAAATTAGGTATCCTCTTGATAATGTCATTTCGCTTTTGGAAATAGGGCTTACGCAACTTATTATACTTCTTCTCAACTTCGAGGATTTCGTCGCTGGCCTTCTCATTGAGGCCATCGATTTGATTCTGACACCCGTCAATCTCTTCGAGTGTCTTTTGTATTTCAATATCGTAATCGCGTGACTCAACACCCTCGCCCGAACCTGGATCCTCTATTTCCTTAGCCTTCTTGTTCGGCGAAGCCATCGTTCGACCCGCGCTCTTGTCACCACACCACTACTCTCTGTTTATTTTCAGTACGCACTCACTCCGCGTTCGTCACCCTCGTGCAGCTCGTGTCACGAATTCGCGGCGCGTAAGCAAGCTAAACTACAGCCATAAGTTTCGCAGCCTATCTAGATGCGCAACTATATTACTTAAAACGTCACTAGACGAAAAAAGTTGTAACACTTTGTTTCTGTTACATATTTTTCATTTCACATCATTTCATATTTTATATTTTAAAATTTTAAGATTATTTCTTTTTTTGAATGTGCGTATTTTTATTTCAAAATACTGAAAGTATAAAATAACATAACTGAACTCTAACTTACATTACTGTAACAAAAATATCGCTTGCCATAAATATATTTGATATAGAAGCAGATATAAAATGTCGTTTACATTCACTTTATATTATGTTAACTTAAAATAATAATTTAAAAATATGATTAGAATTTATAGAAAAGTTTAATAAAATCTATAGAAATGACATAGACGTTTTACTATTAATTATACAATAATGAAATATATAAATACAACATATCTTTTTATTTTATTACATATGTATGTTGTAAAAAAATAATATTTGATATTTAGTGTTTTAATTATGTATAAAATACAATATACTCATATATGTGCCCGTTTTTATAGAAGAAAAAATAAATTTATTTATATATTTATAGTATAGAAAAAATAATAAAAACAAGAGAGTAGTTAAAATTTGTGGTTACGAGATTATATCTACTTTAATTTCTGTAATGACACACACATATTGTAGTACATAACATAAAATATTCAGATTTGAAGAAACTCAATTCATTAAACGAATTTTTTTTATTTCTATATTCTTAATTCTTTTAATTTCTATTTTCTTACTTTTAATTATTTCGGAACAAAATAGTAAATAATAAACAAAAAATAGATTATTACGTACCAAATGGATTAATTAAAGTTGACAACATACAGTTTGTTAATCAAATGTAGTAAAAGAAAAAAATTATATTTTCAACACGTAATGAACGACGATTCAATACATAAAAAATGAATTTATGAAAATTCATTCTTTACTCTAATTACATAATTTTTATAAATATTTAACCTCAATGACGGTACAGTAATTCATTTTTTTTTGTATTGTAATAAGATTATAAGGCCAACTGAGTTATATGAGAATTTATATTTATATTTAATTTTAGACTTATATCTATGTCAACAATAAAATATTAATAAATTATTATTATAAACCATTTTACTATAAATTATAAAGATATAATGGTCATACGAACATTTTAAATGCATATGTACATATGTATATATTTATTTTCACTTGAATCAGTATAATTATTACGTACATACAAGTATATGTAGTAATATATTTTGATATTTTCGATTTAATATTCATATTTTATATCGATATTGTAACATATGTATGTAAATGAAAATCATACAGTTAAGCGTGTATTATATACATACATATGTACATGCACAGATAACAATAAACAAATATTTAATATGGTCTATATTTGATAATGTATATCATATATTTGACAACATAAAACAATATTAATGTACTGTTTTATTTGTAAATAACAATTGTAAAATAAATTAAAACATTATCACGTAGAATATTTATAAACATTTATCGATTATTACATGTTATATAACTATATTAAAAACGGCGTAAATGAAAAATAAATTATAGATATAATTATAAATTATAATTATGAATTATATCTGAATTGAAGATTTTCATTGGCAAACTAAATTCTTTTTTATTTTATTTTGTTTTAATTTTTTAAGAGATAATTATAATATTTAAAAACTTTTTATTTTCTAAATGTAGTTATTTGAAATGAAATTAAAAAATAAATAAAATAATTATAAGTATGACATATAGTAAAAATTGATAAGTAAATATTGTTTATGTGCTTTTAATGTATTTGTACATTTATATTAATAAATTAATATAATTACAGTATATTATAAATCAGAGATTCAATACAATATTTTTGTTTAAATTCAGCTACTAAAAATTCTATATATACAATGTTGATTATATTCTATAAAATAACTCTACCAACATACAAACATAATACAATGCCAAAAAATATAGTTTTGGAATACTTTTTCCAAGGAAACGCGTATAGTTTGTAATTTATAAACTTCAGTTTTAATAGTTGTATAATAGAAAATCTTCAATATTTAATGTGCAATATGCAATACATCTTTGCAATAAATGATACTTATTTCTAATGTATTTTAAAATAATTAATAAAATATTTTGTGGGAATGGGAAAGGTTAGTGTATTTTTTTGTATTGCCTGTACATGAATAAGTTTTGTATAAAATATAGTTACTAATTACTTCAGACTTCAGGTGTTTTGAAAGATATAATTTCATTTATCATTAATACATTTCTTTTCTTTTTTGTTTACAACTATTCAATTATTACACATATAAAGTATGTAAGTATGCGAAATATATAATACAAAGTTATACTTTATTATTATATATTTAATTTTTTTCCTGTATACATCAAATAGAATAATATATTTATTTCAAAATTATAAAGTTATAAAGTTCAGTAGTAAAGTTATAAAAGCACCAATACCTTGAAATATAATTTTAACAAGGATACAGTAAAATGAATAGTACATTATACATATATGTATATATATTTTATACTACTTATAACATTAAAATTTTGCATTGATAGGTTGCAGATATTGACCTATGGCATATTATCTAATATATTTTAAAACTAATTACTAATATGATTACATTGTATTAGAAATAATGTGTTGTTAATATAAAAATACTTATAATAATTTTAATTATTAGAATTAAAATATAAAAATAGTAATTATTGATTAATTTTGCTGCAATACTAACAGTATTTTAATATTAACAACAATTTATATAACCTATTCGCAATTTTTAACAATTTCACTAACAATTCTATAGATATTGAATATAATAATTAGAATTGATTTTTAAAGGTTAGGTCACTATAATATTATTTTATTACCTATTTTATATGTTTATGTATCATATAAAAGACCAGTATGTATACGATGTATTGGAAGAATTTAAACTTTCTAATGTATAGAAGATATTGAACATTTAATAGTGAATGATTTGTAACATTAAATGTTTTATCTTTAATAAATTTGAAGATTTTATCTATTTTTCATTTATAAAAATTTATCTGAAAGTAAAAAATATAAAAATAGCAATATATCTTAAACACACTTTTTTAAACATTTTATGATATAATTTCTTAATTATTATTATATGTAATTGATAAACTTCTATTAAAAAATTTTTCCTATAAATATTCATTATAAAAATATAATTAAATTTTGTGCTTTTTAAATATACACTAGTACAAAATATTAATGTTTAATTTACAAAATTAGTAAATTTTAAGTATATTAAAATATTTTGCATTTTGCATTTTGCATTTCTGATTTTGCATATTTAGTTTTTTTTGTTCTTACTTCTAGTTAGTTTCTATTTAGTATTCCTTTTACAAACAACCTTACAAAATATTTTGTATATATAAAAGAATCATCTTAAAATATCTCAAAAAAGAAGATTGAAATCACAATTTTTCATTAGTATATTGCAACTGCAGGTTTCTTTGTAAAATGATTACGTAGAACCATTCTTTTCAGCTTGCAATTTCTTTCTTGCAAGAAACAGGTTCTTCATATCAGCTAATGCTCTTTCTATTTGTTTCGCAAATCTAGCTGCATTCTAAAAATAGTTTCAATTATATACATATTTTAGCTGTATTAATTATTTAATTAATTATATAATAATGATTTATATATTTACTGTTTCTGGAGAATTACGTTTGCATGAAATATGGAAAAATACAAGATTTTCGCCAGCGATAATATAAGAAACTCCATAACCGTCATCAGCTACAGGACCAAAACCCCCTCCTGCAGAGATACAGTTTGGATTTTTTTTCAAATTTATTAGTGAAGTTTGACCATGTGGAGTTTGTGAAGTAGATAATTTCCATGGTTCACTTAAAACTTCCTAAAAGCAAAAATTCTCTTTACACATCTCTAAAAAAAGAATCATATAATAATATCTTTTTCTTATGAACATTACCTTCAAGAAGGGAGAATCTACTTCTAAATATTTTGATACTACATATAAACAAAATAAGTGTCTATCTATTCCTTTACCACACATAGCATCTTGATAACCTTTTTGATGTTGCTTTGCTGCTGCTATCAATAAATTATATTTAGTTTCAATCTGTAACAAAAATAAAAAATAAATCATATAATAACAAACTAATTTTTAACTAACTGTTTACAAAATATGTTATAAATATTTATATAATTTTATAATGTGATGTATAATTACATTGTGAATATATAATTATTTATTAATTAGCTTCGTTTTATTCTTAATTTTTTTATTAATTATATGTTAAGGAATTTATTTTAGCATTTTTATAAAAGATAATGTTCAATAAAGAATATGAAAAATATTAGAAATTAATATGAAATCACAAGCAATAAATTTTTGTTATAGAAATAGAACTTATATATTACATATACTACATTATATTATAACATATATATTAGATATATAATAGCGAATAAAATTAAAGGATTGCTTTTGAAAAAACTATTTTTTCAAAAAATGTGTTTGAAATCTGAATAAATGTTTTGAAATAGAAAATTTGAAAAATTGAATCCTTGGATAATATGCAAAATTTAAATAGTATTCGAATTTTGTCACTTTGGAACATTATAATCTAAAACGATAGTTAATCGACATACGGCCCTTCTAATAAATTTTATAGAATTACTTACAGTTGCATTTTCACTCTCCATTGCTTTCACCCAATTCGTAGATTCAATTGTACATGGTCTCACAGTTTCTGTTCTTCCTTCTCGAAATAGTCTAGTCATAGAAGCTTCATAAGTTAAATTAAATTTTCCAGAATCACGGAAATATGCTAACTGTAAGGCCATTTGTATGTATGCATCCGGTGACATTGAATTAATTTTCATAAATCCTTTACCATAGGCATTATGTACATAAATGCGTAATTCAACATCATTTAATAAATTTTGTGCAACCTATTAAAAAATAATTAAGAATATACTCAACATAATGTTTTAATATAATTACATGATATTTTTTTATTGTATAAAATAAATAGAAAGTGGTTTCATTAAAAGTTTTAATAATTCAAACCATATCTATTATTACTATCATATTTTACCAAATATAAACTATAGTATTTTAGTTATTGATTAATCAACTGTAAATGTATGAGGCAAAGTTTTTTAATTTCATGACTCTTACTTGATTTGATTCTTCAATTGCAGCTATGCAGTCTGGATTTAAATTCCATTGAAGTCGAACAGGAGGTGGAGGTGTGAATTCTGATACTCCTTTATTATATCCATCTTCTTTATATCTATATTTGAATAATGAATTTTTCAAAATATACAACATGAAAAAGATACAAAATTTTATTCTAAATATATGAGGCACATGCATTAGTAAATAATACTTGCATAAGAAATTAAAATATATGACTTTTAATATTTTATACAAATGCAAATAATATGTAATACAATTACATAATAAATCTCCAATATCTTTAAAAAAAAAAAAGAAAAAGATATTAATGTATGAATCATTAAACTATGTACATAAATTGAGAATAATGATCATTTGAGTTTTTAAAGACTTTTAATATTCTAAAGGCTAATAAAAATATAATTTATTTTTAATTATTTAGTTTTATAAAATGAAAAAAATTTCAAATAGTTTAAGTTCTTATTATGTAACTCATTGTATTTACTGTATTTTTCTCAATTTACAAATATGTAGGATAAATTACATAATTGGTATAAAACATAATTTTAATTTCGTTCAAATTGCAAATATAATGATAAGAAAATATGACTTATTAAGGAAGTCATTACCTTAATTGTAAAAGTTTGAATTACTAAATTGGTATTCTCTACTAGTTAGATTAATAAATGAAAAAAGCATTAATTGTTTAATGATGATGACGTAATTACATTGTTTAATGATTTATTTTTAAAAAATTGCAATATATATTATATATTTACTAGCAAGAGTTAATATATAATATATACATATAGTGGATGATCGGTTAACAAACATCTCGGACTACGAACAGATCAGGCAACAGACTTTCGTGAAAGATTTTTATGTTCGAATAACGAACACTTCACACCGTGACGCTGTGTGTAAGATTTGTAGAACTGCATCTTACTGCCATCGATGATCGGTTAACGAACAATTTGGATAGCGAACATTGTTTTTGAACGGATTATGTTCGTTAACAGATCACTCACTGTATACTCTACATAAAAAGATATCTTCAGATATTGCAAAAATATTTATTATCTATTTGTTGTACATATAAGAAACTTCGAAAAGAAAAATGCTAAATTCATTAAAAGTTTATTAAAGAAAAAATAGGAAAAGAAGGAAATTTTCCATATGACGTTTCATTTTCGAGAAAATCGAATTTCAAAATGTATTAAATATATTTGAATTTTTGAACAATATGAAAAAAGAATACTGTTCTTATCTTTCTTTGTCTTTTATGTAATAGATTTTACAAAATTAAAGTTAAAATATCTTTTAAACTGATAATTTTTTGACATACATAAGTTAGTACTTTTTCGAGAATATGGAGCCATATCGATTAACGCATAAAAAAATATATCATTCTATTTAAAAAAGTGGAGATGATCTCGAAATTTTTAAAACGCCTCTATTATATATATATATATATATAAAAATACATGCACCACAGAATGTTAAAATCATGCAACTTTTGTATAAAAAAATTTTTTTACACAATGCATACCTTATTCAAGATGAGCAAGTTATGTGAACCACCGAGTATTAATTACATCGAAATTAGAGAAACACTAAATTTTGTTATTTTTTTACAGTGGAATGTATACATAGAAAAAGGCGTTCATTAGATACAAGTTAGTTTTAAATGGTAGAATATTATAGAAGAATATTTTTTATATAATTAAAAGCAGAGAAATATGAAAAAAACAATTACCCCATTTCCACATCATTAGCGATAACATATTCCCATAGAGATCCCATAATAGGTGCATCAGCCCTAGCATATTATAAATAAAATTATTTAAATCATTCTATGCATAAAGATATTAAAATTCTATTAATTAAGAAAAAAAAAAATAACAAAGATATGTTTATGAAGTAGAAAAAAGGAATGATAAAATATTTATAGATTTTCAAAGATCTATCTCTATTATTAAGACTTATACAAAATGCATATTGAAATTAATATTAAAAAAATAATACTTTTAAAAAAATATTTTTGAAAATAAGAACATACATTGTGCAAAAGTACTTAACTTATGTTAAATAAATTTTTTTTAATTTCTTAATCAGCTTTAAATAAGTAATGTATTATAATTAGTTTTTAAAGAGAATAAAAGCAAAAAAAGTAACCACCACCCTAAAAATTATTTCTTATTTAACTTTCTTACTCTCTATTGGTAATTTCCTGAGATATCACGTACTCCCATAAATGTGACATCACTGCAGCATCTGCCCTGCTCATTACTTTTCATTATGTATCAATTTCAATATGTCATGATTTTTTTTAATGTTTAAAATGAACTACTAATAGGCAACTGATTACCTTTCCTCAAATAAGAGATTATAGAAATATATGACAATAATTACTAATCCTCAAATAAGAGATTATAGAAATATATGACAATGTCATTCATGATCCATATAAAGTATTACATATATAAATCAAAATTTTACTTAGAATATTTAGAATATTTAAATTTATAAAGGTTTTTACTGTATTTTTATTTATTTGCTAATAAGTGTTATTAGTAGTATTAAATATTATTAGCAGTATTTACAAATGTATATATAAAAATTTATATTAAATAATGACTAATAAATAAAATTTACATTTTTATATATAGTACAGAATTTATATTTTATAGTTTTATGTAATAATTTTACTCATCATTTAACTGCATAGATCTCTTCATAGCTTCGTTTAACAAAATACGATTGCGATATTATTGTTAAAGAACTATGATTTTTTGAATTTGTATTAACACTTTATATGGATCCTAAATGGCAATTTAATTTTACATACGAAGATCAAATAAGCTAAATTTCAATATTACTGATATCAAAATAATAATAAACGAAATTTCTTTCCTTCTTTCTTTCTTTAATATAGAATTATTCGCAAAAACTTTTATGAGCTTCATAAAAAACACATTTTTATTAAGATAGAATACTGCAAAACTTCTCTATAATTGAATTTATTGTTTGTAAAGATAACTAAAAGCTGTTTTATTATTGCTTTTATTATAAATGTATCATATACATTATTATATATATTTTATTTAATAAAAATGGATTTTTTATGCGTATCGAGACTTTCGAAAGTGACTATATATCATTCGTATACAAAATATTATAAGACGAGATCATAATGGAAATATTTTCACATTTATCATTATTATAAAAATTTAATTGACATTAATAAAAAATATTTACTTTATATTAGAAAAATATGATTAAAATATTATACAAAATGTGGATAAAGAACTTTTATGGTTTTTTCTTTTATAATAATAATATTGCAGAAATTTAGACGAAAAAATGATGTTTACTTGTCAATTTTATTGTGACAGATCGTTTGTATGTATTGAAATACTAACGTTTTATTATACATACTATTATTCGAAGAATTAATAACTGTCTGAAGATTTTTTAACGTATTAATATCAAATCTCTTGTAAAATTCGAACAAATATCATAGATTGATATAACAAATGTGATACATATATATGTATATGATGAGAAAACATTGAAGAAGGCAACTATTTATAAATAGTTAAAAAATTTCAGGAAGAAGGATGAAGCAATGTACAAAACGATTGAATTTTCATATTGTACACTAATAAAAACATTCTAAATAATAGATGTTAGCAGTAAATTTTAGGAATTTTAAGAATAATAATTTCCATGTTCGTGAAAATTAAAAATAACAATTTTGAAAAAATTTTTTTATGAATTTTTATGCACTTATCCACACTTTCTATATACTACTCTATATTTCAATAATATACTACTCATTTCATTACAGATCATCTTTCTTTAAATTATTTTTTTATTTACTGCTTATTTATTTATATAGTTTAACCACATTCTTATTCTTTAAATAGTTTGATATGAAAACTCACCATGAATGTTCTGCATTAAAACCAGTCTGCAAATTAACAATATTTGATAATTATTTATAAATTGTATTTTATTATTTTGAAACAATATTACAATATTACTTACTCTACCATTACTGCCTATACACAAAGTAAAGGATTTATCGAACCATCTATCATATCCATTACCATGCAATAAAATTCGACCATACTGGTCTAATTTGTCTGGGTTTTCCTAGTAATATATAAAAGTTATAAATGTGACACATGTTTACAAAACATACAATTTTACTTTTTACTTACTGGATCATATATATATGGTATATCATCCAATGTAACTATAAATGCTGCTTTTTCAATGAGATCTAAAGATATTTTATTTACTCCTTTTGAGAAAAATTCTTCTCTAGCTATTGCCCATGCAGTTCTTTCACCAGCTGTTAAAGCAGCCAATTTTTCTTCACCTTCTGATGGTTCTGATTTATCATCCAAAATTTGTTGCATTTGTCTAAAACAAGATATAATATATAGTTATAAATATTTTACTTATTTTATAAATATTTAAAATATTTAAAATATTGATTTTTAATGATATATTCAATGATTTATTTATAATAAGAAAAATAAAATAACAACTTGTTCATATTATAAACTTCGTTAAACTTGAAATTGAAATTTAAAAAATATTGTAAATTGATAATTAATCATATATTATTCATAAGATAAACGACTAAAGAATTAATTATTAAGAAAATTAATTATTATTTGTGATTAACAGTTAAAGTTGCAACATAATCATTAATTACGATTAAAGATTATTGAAAAAGTTTAATCGTTGATTAATTTTTTGCTTAACTCTGTTGGCAAATGTTTTGCGACAAATTTGAAATCAATTACGTTATTGTTACAAATGTCAACATATGAAATGTCGATTCAAAACCAGCGATAACCCAGCTACATATGACTACTATCACTGTTGTGGTTGGAAAATGGTTCTAATGATTCAGATATTTAAATTTCGAATATCAATTTTTCGAGCACCTAGATATCCAAATAGAAAGATCTCATCGAGTATTTTAATTGAATAATACGTATATCTAGATTCCAATTAAGGGATATCGAAAGCTTGATCAATAACAGTTCTACTTTGAATATTTTGCTATTATATTAATATTATTTTAATACTTTATACTATTATATACTAGTATATTAAAGTAAATAAAAATAAAGTATTATATTTTTAATATTTAATTTAATTTACAACTAATTTATAAAAATTTATAATAGATCATTTCTTTTTATAGAATTAGAATTTTTTTATAAGTATAAGTTAGATGTAGGTCACTACATTACAAAGATATTATAGATAGGTAATATCAGATAGATTTCCTGTCGATGTATTATAATTGACTTTCGACTTTTATATTGTATTAGGTGTAGATAAATGCACGTTTCAGAAAGTCTCACTTTAAGATTAGTATTACATTTTTGCTCATTATATGCATGTATAGTGATTCTCATTAATATTCGGATACTAAATATTTAAACTTATAATTTTGTAAAAAAAAAAAAAAAATTCGTGCAACAATATAGAGCTCTTGTTAAAGTTTGTAGCCTTTACTTAAAATACATTATCCATTTTATTTCAAAGTATTTTTACATCACGTAGCAGGTAAATAAATGAAGATATTTATCTCTTCGAAAATACTGTAAATTGTCATAGTATGTAAAAACATTGAAAAATTTTTTCATCATTGAATCTCTACAATGGATTTGAAGATAGAAGCTTTATAACGATTTCCGAAAACTTGATGTACTTATAATGTATCCATAATATTATGATCAAATGAAGAAAATTCAAGAAATCGTAACATTTTCATAGTTTTAGTCTGATATTTTAGCCTGATATTCAAAATTCAATAAATTGGCAGAAGAGATTATACAGTTAAGTTTCGAGAAGTCGTTGTAAAGAAAAGACTTTAACTCTCAAATCCAAATGCCATGAAAAAAATTTTTTAAAATTTGTCAATGTTTTTACATACTATAATTTATAGCATTTTCGCCAAGATACTTTATCATCTATTACATAGTGTAAAAATATCTTAGAATAAAAGGAACGATGGATTTTAAAAATAAAGCCTACAAGCTTTAAAATAAGTCTAAGTTGATTATTGTACGATTTCTCTACAAAATTATAATAGTTTTAATATTTAGTGTCCGAATATTAATGGGAGTCCCAATGGGAGTCGTAATATTTATCAATGCTTACAAGGATAGAAGATATAAATAAAGCATTATAAGCGATCTTGTTTAGATCATTGTAGATAAATATTTTTAATTCTATTAACAAATGCATATTCATGTAAAATTTATACCACTGTGTGAAAATTCTTGCATTTCAGAATATTAATGCAAGCTATAATGTGATGTGAATTTAAAATAAATTTTATATTTACTTTATGAATACGACAATCCCATTATTTTTTTGTATTATTAAAAATGAAGTCATCATCTTATGATGACATTAAATGAGATATTTTAGATAAATATATTTATATATGCCTTTATTATTACTATTTTCTATTAATCGTTTTTAAGTCGATTAATATAAAATAAATATAGATAAATATAAAAATTCCATTTAAAAAATTGAAGATCACTTTTGTTATTAAAAAAAATTGCAAATATTTTTATAAATATTAAAAGCAATATTATTATTAAGCAAATAAAGTAATACGTAGCACAAATAAGTACTTTATTGCTAAGTAAATATTTTTATTAAATAGTTTTACTAAGTAAATACAAATATTTTTATTAAGTAATTTATTAAGTAATTTTGCTTAATATTTTAAATTTTTGCTTGCTTTTAAATTTAATATGCATTTTTCCAAGCATCTTTCCAAGAATATTTGAAAGAAAAAAAAAATCAAAAAATGTTAATAAATATGAGTTATTTAATGTTTGTTAAGCAAACAAATTCAAAGAATTACCACATTAAAATCGTAATATTAACATAGCCTGATCAAAGATGAAGTCATTTCTATGAGACAGTTATCATTTTAACATATTTTTCAAAGTTGCAAAAAAACCTACTAAAATATAAGATACATGATTTTTATGCATTTTTAAATTACTTTAAATAACTAAAGACATAAAATCTTAATAGAAATTTGTTTTATCTATTATTTTAAATATTATATATATTTTTTTTATTATATGTATGTGTTAAATTATAACTTTTGCAACTTAAAATTTTCTATAAATCCGCAGTTTATTGATGAAATATAAGAAACTATGTATCTTTAATTCTGTGATAAATCACTGTTTCACTTCAATATCTTAGTCAATATCAAGTCATTAGTTTAAATATAATTTAAAAAACTATCATCTTAAATATAATTTTTTCATACACTGAAACAGTAAATGAAAATGGTGAGGATGTAGCTTACGATGATAAAAGGATTTCAATAATTCCAAGTATAAAAAGAATGTAACTATAAAGAACTATGTAGTTAAAAAAATTCAACAGTTAAAAAATATGCAGCATTCTTAAATATTGAAATAAACTGAGTGTTCTTAATTTTCACTGAAATACGTGCAATTTAGTATGAAAAGTGATGAGTAGTAGTAGTATGAATGATTATGTAGTTTAGTATCAAAAAAATTTCATTAGTCGAACATTTTTGTTTTCCTATTAGTTCGGATATTAACTAAACTATTATAATGGATCGATTTAAGATTCCTCTTTATAAAGTTAATTATAACTTTTTTGATGTTTATAGTGCAAAATTTGAAAAAAAAAAATATTTTTGCTAAACAAAGAGAAAATAAAGATAATGTTGTTACATGACAATGAACATTTATCTATACAGGGTACTCCAATTAAGTGGCCACCTAAATATCTTTTTTTTATGATGATGCAAAAAATATTTTTTGCCTAACATTGAAAGGTCAATAATTGGTAAGATTTCTTGTTATTGTATCGTGTAGCTGGTAAAAAAATACATTCAGATATGTAAAGAACATGACCTTAAAGCGACATTGATATCCAAAAGTTCAATTCATTTTTTAAATGATTGGTTATTCATATTGCTGAAAAAAACGCATACGATTTACAAAATTTGTTCCATGAAAATCTCGATGTAAAGATATGTAAATGATATGGGTGGAATTTTTTTCCCATATTCGTATTATGATAATTTTAGAAGTACCACTTTTACACTCAAATTGTAGACTCACATGTGGATTTTTGTTAACTATAGTTACAATAATTCCTTTATTTCTTTCGTTATTAACAGTTTTTCGAATACTTCGCCAGTTTAAATGACTGATCAATTTCGATACATTGATCAGAATTTCAAGCTACTAGAAGAGATTATCATCGACGATGTAATAAATAGTAAACATCTTTATTTGCATTTATTGCAAATAAATTTCGCTCTCGATTGTCGTGCCTTGGCCAAGAGGCTACCTCCCAATAGAGGTAAATTTACAGGTAAAACTTAAATTTTCAAGATTATATTTTTCACATATCTGAACGTATTTTTTTACCAGGTACACGATGCAATAAAAAAAAATGTCATTATATGAAAAAAAATATCAATGATCTTGAATAGTCCTTGAAAAAAATATTCTTACTTGTTATTGACCTTTTAGATGCCATTAATATTAGGTAAAAAATATTTTTTACATCACAATTCGAAAAGATATTTAGGTGGCCTTACTTAAATGGACCACCTTGTATAGATTTACATGAATGTTTTATATTGAAAATATTAAATAGACTGTAGCAGCGAGAAAAACTATAAAATGAGATGATGTATAATTGGTCAAAATTTGTTTTAAAAACTACTATCTTAAAAAGTTTTTATCATAAAAATATTAAAAGAAAACAATTTTACTTTAAAAAATTATTTATTTTTTACAATATATTTTCAAATAACTTTTGTAAGACCATTCTTTTTGTAATATTAAAATTAAAAATATTTCAGTAAAACATTCTGTATGTAAAATGATACAGATATTTTTTAAACATTTTTATTATATTTGTTCCAATAATTTTGATTTAATTATAATTTTGGTTTTAATAATAACCAATTATGAAAAAAATACATTTAAAATTATTTAAAATCACATAGCACTACATTGAAATGTTAGAACATTTTATCTAATAATAATCATACTGTGATAAACGTTCAATTTTTTTCTTCCAGCTTCATAATGAGATTTTTTTTTATACAATTACTTCAAATGTCCAAATTTTTTTTACATATTTTTTTGTCATAAACTATATTTTTACTTATTAAGATTGCATAACTAGATACGAACTGGGGCAAAAATTAAAAAATTTCATTTGAAATGTTATGCCATAATTAAGTATTATTGAAATATATTGTAAATATTATAAACTATAGTTAATATATCGAGATGGGTTTGTTTTTTATTAATACTTTTTTTTTAGAGTAGGTCTATTTTATTAATGTGCTTATTTTATTTTTTAAATATTTAACATCTTAATATTTTAATTCTTGCGAAATTTTAATTTTTTTATTCTACTATACAGAAAAATCTAAGAACAAATACGTGATTTTTATAATTAATTTTAAAATTATAAAAAGAACTCTACTGTTGTAATACTTTGATCAAATAAAAGCACAAAATATTTTTAATAAAAGATAATTTTAGGATCATTTTAATTTCTAACAATTTTGTTTTTTTTTATAATAAAAGCAATTTGTATTATGTATTTAATTGTATTTAATTATATAAAAATTATGTAAATAAAACTTTTTAAGAAAATAATCTCATATCTTACAATTAGTATAATCTTATATCAATTATTGTAGTGAAATTAAAGTGTTCTCAAATGTATATAACTAAATATAAAAAAATAAAATAAAATTACATTTGACTTACATTTCAATTTCACAAGGTTGAAGGATCCTATTTTTGTGATAGATAAGAACTTTGAAATATTTTCCCTTATGATATACAACAATATGTTTAGAATCCTGATGGTGTACAATTTTGTCCGTTTCACGTCCTGGTATCCTTGTGGTATTAAATAATCTTTCATATTGCCATGAACAGAGAGGTACCAAACCTTGAATTAATATCTACAAGCAAATATGAGTTTGAGTCTCAAATATGAGAACTAATAAAAGTTTTATAATCTTTTATCAACCTGTATTTAAATATTGAAATATTTTGACGAAGCAAAAAGTATTTTATTTTAAATTATATATCTATGTCAGTAGAAAACAAATCATAATGAATATAAATTTACTATTAATTTAAAATATAATTTACTATGTAATCAATATAAAGGTATCTAATTAATTAGAAATAGAAAAAGATATTTTACTGACCGGTTCTAATTCTTGACGTTCAATGAGTCGTCTATACTGTAGACACGAATAAATAGCACTTGCAGCACGAGCAACTTGTACATGAGAAGAGTACATAAGAATAGCATCGATACCATAAAAGTTTGAATTCACCATTATGGGAGATCGTCCACGTAAATAAACATATTCTTCCCACCAATCAGATACATAATTTGTAGCCCACCAAGATTTTAAAATTAAATATCGTTGAAGTTTTGCACCAATGCCTTTTTGAAATTCATTTGCCAATGTCTCCATTCGAGAATAGTTTTCATCATCGAGCAATGGTCGAACACTTCGTAAATACTAATTACATATATATATTTTTTATTAATATCATGATTAATTATATCATAATAATAAATAAAAATATAATAAAAAACTATAAATATAAAAATAAATATAAATATAAAAAACTCAATATAACATAATAGAATCAATATAGTAGAAACTATCGAAGGCCATTTTCTATTCCATAAAAAGTGAGTAGTTATTTACAACCTGTATAGAATTATGAAATATTTTATAATCTAACCCGTTTCATTGTATCTTCCACTGAAGGTAGTGGTAGTCGTGGCAATGATCCTTGAAAACTATACAGCATTGGTTTGTGCCATCCAAAGAACAATTTCACTAATGTGCTCCAAATCTTAGAAATTCTTGAAGCATTAGCACCTTTTTCTCTCGATTCATACATCCATCCTTTGTACATAAGTAATAACTTTAAAGTATACCGTAGTACATATATTACTACCAACCACAAAAACAACCCAACTATAAAAGAACCTGCTAAGTGTGCCAATACTGAAGATCTATAAAAATACCAGCAATATAATTCTATCAATAAATAAAATGTTATTAACACAATCAAATCATTTAAAAAAAGAAATTAAATTTACCCTGGAAGATATGGTGCAGCTTTCCCAACAAGATCATAAGGTACTTTGTAGCCAGCAAAATGTATTGCAGTTACTACAGCTATGGTAAACCATAAACTTTCTAAAGAGGCAGGATATACACCACTTCTCAAATTATTCTAAAATTCATTTAATTATCTCGTTAAATCGTTAACTTGACTAGAATTAACTTACATTTTTGTTAAATTTTTACACTAAATAACTTTTGCCACATAAAAAAAATATATTTTATAATTTAGATAAAGCTTAATTTGATAGTAATTATATTTTACAAATAATAATATAATAATTCTAATAGAAATTTGATTTAAGTAAATTAAAATATTATAATTGTATTATAAATTATTTATTTACTTACAACAAATCTAAAAGATCTTTTCTTCCAAGAACGAATACCTGATTGCCATACCAAATGTAAAACTTCTCTATCAAAATTAACATCCCATCCTTCATGAGTAATGGAAAAACTAAATGCTACAGCTGAATGTGCTTCCGCCATATCATTTGTTGTTTGTTATAACTGAAATAAATATCAAACAAATTATAATAATAATAATAACAAAAATTAATATTTAAAAGTGGTAAATATTTAGTTTCAATTTAATTTTCATAATGTATATACTTTTCATTTCAAGTTTCAACTTGTATTTCAATCTGTTTGATTGAATCTTTATGATTTTTCTCATAATTCTTTCAATAAAAATTTATTTTTGAATACATATTACATGAATGTTATCAAATTTGTTTAATTTTTTATATTACTTTATGAAATATGTATATACAGGATGTTCTATGTAATGCGATGCACGGTTTTTCAGTCATTTGTGGTCACCTGATAAAAAAAAAAAAAAAAAAAAAAAAAAAATAAAAGAAAATTCATGAGTATTAAATGTATAACAAACAACGATAATTAGAATTTTAGAAATATTTATTTGATTTTTGGTTTCGCTATGAAAATAAACTATTTTTGAAATTTTAATTATCGCTAGTCTAATAAATACTAATACTGATAAATTTTCTTTGTCAGACGATCGCAAATCGCGATAAAATCACTAATCGTGATCGTTTTAAATAAAATATTCCATATATATGTGTGTGTGTGTGAGTGTACACCGAACATTCCATATATATGTGTGTTTGTGTGTGTGTATACACCGAATTTTGCCCATTCAATAACTTTTCAAGAATATCTTAGAAGATTAAATGTACATTCATAACACAACTATATACATATATATACATAATTATGTATAACTACACAATTATACCATATGTTTTTGTACTTTTTGTACTACACAATTATACCATATGTTTTTGTACTTTTTTTCATGAAGAAAAACTATTAAAGTTAAATATGACATATAAATAATTATATATAATTATGCATAACAATATCATAATTATGATTATTAATTTCTAATTAAATATAAAAATATACTTTATCTTAGAATAAAATTTAAAGACAATTGAAAATAATATACAATACTTTCAAATAGTAACAATTGATTTGTACGCTTCTGTTATACATATATGTATGTAATATACATGTATATACGTAACCTTGGACTTTGAACACTGCTCGTCTGGAAGCGATCATGATCTTAGCAAAAAATTACTTGACTAACTACATGCATAGTATGCACATATTCTAAATTGATATGTATTAATGTTTTCATCATATTAAATAATTGTACCTCCCAAAGTTCTAAGGGTAAAGATCTATATCATACGAATTTATTAAAACTTTGGGAGGAATATAATTTAATTTAATTTAACAATTCATTGTTAATTACATAATTTAATTTAACAATGTTTTTTCATAAATCATGCTATTTCATAAATTATTTTTTTTATATAAATATAATAATATATTTTTCTCAATTAAAATTATATTTTTCTCAAAAAAAATATATATATATTTAAATATATATATTTCATATAGATTCATACATATTAAAAAAATTTCTTTCAATTTTCTCTGGTTTTATTTAATTATAAATAATTATTACGTAGAAATTTTATATAATTAACATACAAATTATATTGTTGTAAATAATTTCAATAAAAATCATGTAAACAATTTTAATAAAAATCAGGAAAATACAATATCTCAAAAAATCATAAGTAGATATTTTTAAGTTCAATGTGCGTGAGATTCTTTATTGTATTTGTTATATTGCATATTTTATTTACTCTTTTACATTGAATATGGATATATAATATTGAAATGAATGATGATTTCAATGAAAATATAAGTAAAGTGGATAAAAAATTTTATGCAAAATATTTTTGTAATTTTTCAAAAATAAATAATTGAAATTTACAATAAATTAAAATTAATTATTTAACTATAAATTGGAGCTTAACTAAAAAAAAATATTCCTTTAAATAATAGAAAAACTATTACTAATACAAAATTCATACAAATTATATTTATTATTATTAATTTGTACCTGTAATTTATGCCTTGAATAATAGATATAATTTTTAAGAATAATCAAAAAATTTAATTTATTGAAACATTTGTAAATTAGAAAAATTTAAAATATTATACTTTATTATCAAAATTACAATTTTCGACTGCAACATATTGTACAAATGTAAGAAGCATTTATGCATCAATGCATATTATGTGCTGCAATTGTGGCTTCTTAAGTAAGGTCAACTAGTCTATTTCCTCTTGATCCATAATGTCATTTTTATCGTTTGCAATAGTATAATATCAGTATATTTTAAACAGCACAAATTATATAGAAAATATTAATTTTCTGATCTCATTTCCAATATATAATTTTATTAAAAACTGCCGTTTAATCATTTTTTAAATAAATTTGAATTTTTGAGAATCTGGTTAAAAAAACAAAACTTTAGTAAAAAATTATTTGAGTTAAATCTTATCTGTATAATGTATTTTGGATATTTTTTCATACTATATGCCTTCTGTACAATTATTCTGTATTTTTAAATGTCTTGTAAATTTATCATAAATGTATAAAAATTTGTTGCTTGTTTATGCCATGTAGTAACACAAAGATTATTCAACTTTCAAATATTAAAAAAAAATTTACAATATATTATAAAATCAATTTATGTAATATCAATCTTAACAAAAAACTTAAATTGATCGTACGTATTTTATGATATAATATATTTTTATATGCTTCAGAAGTTTAAAAATAGTATATATATTTTTTTCATCTTTTTCGATCTTAATTAACTTAAAATAAAATTGTTAAACAAAGTAAAAATATGTTTTTAAGATAGCTAATACTATTTTATTGAATGTAGTATAGCTACAAAGAAACGTTAATTTTATTCACATATTTCTCAAAATAATGAATCTTGTGTTTAATTACAGGTATCAATTATTATAGTATTTTTTAAATTTAAAAAAAAATGATTACTAAATTTATTCCCAATGTACATGTATTCGAATTAGTTTATATTTTGATTGTAAAAGACACACGCGCGCGTACACACACATCCACACATATATGTACATATAGTGTATGCGTAACTTACAATTAGAAAATATTCCACTACGACATTGCTGTGGAAGAGATCAACACTAAAAATAAGTTGCAATATAACCAGTGATATTGCATAAAATACATATTCGAAATTTTTGATTAGTAATTGTTAATGTATATGTACCGATATATGACTGAACTAATCGTGACACCTGTTCATAGTTAACTGTATTAATTTGTTTTATATTGTGGCACCTGAGTATCGAAACAAATTCGCTGTTCCCCCTCGTAACTGTCAAATGATTCAAATGCAATTGTATATAAAAAAGTGAAATACATTATCCAATTTATGATTGAATTATCCTGATTAAGCAACAACAGTAATATAAAAACGATATCTAATCTGTACACGATTAGAATATATTACAACATTAATTTTCATATTTCTTATATAGCAATAGACAGATATTATGTATTATTACTTATTTTGATTAATTATAATGATATAAAAATTTTAAAGAAATACAAATAAACAACAATACTAAACACATTATGGGGAAGTGAAATTTATATAATGTTGTAAAATAAGTAAACATTAAATTTCTATTACTGTAAAAATAGTACTGTTGATAAAAAATTATATGCTTTATGATATGAATTATATGCTTATTGATATGAAATTATATGCTTTTTAAATGCTTTTAAAAAAATATTTAATCCTATTTGAAAAAAACAAAGTGGCTATGAAAACGAATTATTTTTGAAATTCTAATTATAGCTATTTGTTGTACACTCAATATTGATAAATTTCTTTCCAAAACTTTTTTGTATTAAACGGCCGCAAATAGTTGAAAAACTGTGTATCGTGTAACGTATCAGTATAAAAATGTTAAACGATTAAAATTAAAAACTACATTTGCAGTAAGATATATGAGACATCAATTAAATTTTATAATAAACAATGTATATAGTAAACAAAAAATGGCAAAAATAACAATGATAAAAATGCAATACTAAACAATATTGTTTTGGACAAATTTTAACTGTGATAAGGCCAATTATCTATAATATCTGACCAATATAATGTTTATTCAGTCAAAATGAATAGCATTATTTACTATAATAAATTAATACAGCAAAAAAATCATTGGAAAACCGCAGTTTCTGATTGACACGAAATTTTGAAGCGATAGGTGGGAGCAGGACTCCAAATAAAATTTTTAAAACTTCGGATTTTATTAGTTGCTGGGATGTTAATAAAAGATTTTCCGTGCAATACATTGAATTCTACCTACAGACGTTACTATATTAGTTATTTTCACTGTAATAGTCATCGTCGTCAGATATCGAGTATAGAGTCCCACTTACATTCAATATGATTAAATTTCACTTTCGGGCACTATTTTTTTATTAATTTTTCATATTATTCACCTAAACGATAAGAGTTGAGATTAAGTTACATATTTTTCTAATCACTAGAAAGCGACTGGTAACTCTTGTCCGCGATGTTGTTCCGTGTTTACGTAGAATAATCTATAGATACTGAAGCCATGTAAATATAAAACGTAAACAATTAAACAGTTCCCCAACAATCACCGACGATAACTGCTACTAACATCGACCATTGTCATGTCTGTGTAAATAGAATTCAATATATTGTATTGAAATTTTGGAAATTAATAAAAATTCAAAACTAAAATTTTATATTTGGGATCCTTCTTATTCTCATTTCATGCTGAGCGAGAACTGATGCTTTTCAGAACAATCATCTACAATTTTTACTATCAAAATTAGTTAAGACTGTTTTTATTAGATACCACGCAAAATATCACAATTAAATAGTTGTTTGTTGAACAATCTATGAAAAAACAAAACAATTTTAAGTTTATTATATAATATATCATAATATTATATTTCTGTATTGTGTCTGTTCTGTATTGTGTATTGTTCTGTAATAATAATATATAATTAAGGTAATTGAAAATAAAGAAGAATCCATACGTCATCAATAAATAATATTATATAGTTGCTTTCAGTCCTTTTTTTCAGT